TTCCCAGCCTTTTCCCCTTACCAACCTTTCCTACAACAGGAAAACGGAGATAAAAGTTGAACCCAGACTAAACTGTAGATTTCCTGACTCCTGGTCTAAAGCTCTCTTCTATAAAATAATTTTAATAAAATGTTTCAAATATAAATAAAAGCATAACAAATACCCAGATTTTTTTTTTTAAGATTTTATTTATTTATTCATGAGAAACAGAGAGAGAGGCAGAGACACAGGCAGAGGGAGAAGCAGGCTCCATGCAGGGAGCCCAACGTAAGACTCGATCCCAAGGTCTCCAGGATTACTTACGCCCTGGGCTGAAGGCAGTGCTAAACCGCTAAGCCACCCAGGCTACCCCAAATACCCAGATTTTTACAATGTTAGTATCAAATGCTTTGAATCTTTTTTGACAAGAAATGGCACTTTAATACTTCGAATCTTTTAAAAAAGTAATTAAAATATACCAGCAGATGATGTCCATTCCTCTCTTTCCCCTATCTCCTTCTCCAGACATAACCACCGTATTGAAGTGTGGTATATCCTATTCTTCCTGTTCATGTTTGTATACACTCAAATGATTATATATCCATAAACCACACCATGTTGCCACAAAATGAGTTGGTCTTCAAAACAAGGAGGAGTCCCTCACTCTAGCGTGCTTGCATGCAAGTAAAACCTTTGGTGTTTGGCTGGGTATTTCAAAAAGAAACTAGGGCAGAGTTTAAAGTCTTTTTTAATAATTACCATAGAAGGATCTAGTGATGTGTCTTACTATTTAGAGTGAAAAATAAATTAGGCAAATATAAAAATTTAAATATGATTTTTTTAATCCTTTTTCAGTTAGCACTTCATATTTGTGAAACTCTGGTTTACAATGACCTAGTGTGAATGACCTGTCATTGAACAATAGGGAAAGATGGATTGAGCAATTTAACTAGTAATAATAGTTTCTACTTCTGCTTCAAGGTCCAGCTCAAATGTCACCACCTTAATGAATCTATCTTTGATCCCATCAAAATTAATTCCTTCAGTAGTCACTTATTGAGTGCCAGAGCCCCATAGATACAAAAGTAGATCAGATCCAGTTCCTGCCCAGGGCTCAGAAATAATTACACAATAGTTTTTGATAAATGCTCTAATAGAGGTATCCATAAAGGGTTAGTGAAATCTATACTTTTCCTGGAGCAATTGGAGAAGACATTACAGAGGAGGCGATATTTGAGCTGCATCTTGCAGACTGAGTAGGAATTCACAAATAGAAGATAAAAGGTCATTCCAGGTAGGGAGACACTGAATGAGAGGGTTCAAAGGATGGTAAGGTATCAGTTTTAGAAAGACAACTAAGGATAGACATCAGAGATACAGGGATAAGTTAGATGCCTAACAACAATTCAAGCAGAAGATGACATGATTGTAGGCATGAGGTGGGAGGGGGAAAGATTTTAACAAAATTTAGGAGACAAATTTAGCAGAATTTGATGCTTCTTTGTATAAGGGAAAGAAAGAACATGGAGGAGCTGAGGATGACTCCCAAAGGCTTAGCAAAATGAGTGGGCAATAAGGCCATTAACTAAAATAGGAAATACCACACAGAAGGTGAGAACAGGCCTGGTGTGTGGGGGGGGTGTCATTTCCCTGAGGCACTTGAGGTCACTTCGTTAGGCCTTAAACAATTTCCCTTTCTACGCCAGAAACCACCCCCTTCCTCTGAATTCCGTAGCATAATGTGTACCTTTCCACATCAGATTTAAATAAATATTTACAAGTCTGTCCCTACCTTAAACCATGAAGAAAAACTACTAGCTCTTTTTTTTTTTTTTTAGATTCTATTTATTTATTTATGAGAGACACACAGAGTGAGGTAGAGACACAGGCAGAGGGAGAAGCAGGCTCCACACAGGGAGCCCGATGTGGGACTCGATCCCAGGACTCCAGGATCATGCCCTAGGCTGAAGGCAGACGCTAAACCACTGAGCCACCCAGACATCCCAAACTACTAGCTCTTATTTTCTCTGTATTGTCCTTATCTCTGACCCTTATATACAAAAGCCCCTCAAAGTTTGCATTCTTGAAAAGGGAGCTCCAGGAGATACGAGACACTGTTAATATTTATCAAAACAATGGCCAAAACTTGTGAGTTATTGACTTCCATAAACTATCTAAAGCATCTGGTCTATCTACGGTACCTCATTTTAGATTCTTTTGTGCTCACCTTTTTTATTTTTATTTTATTTTATTTTTTTTACCTTTTTAATTTTTTAAGTAGGCTCTACACGCAGTGGGGAGCCCGACACAGGGCTTGAACTGATGACCTGAAGACCAAACCTGGGCTGAGCCAAGAAGCCAGAGGCTCAGACCAACTAAGCCACCGGGACACCCCTGTCTTATCCTACTTGTAAGCAACCCTGCAAGGTAGCTGTAGTCCTGTTTTACAGATAAAGCAACCGAAGGCCAGGACTGAGGGCCAAGGGCGTCTGAACAACCTTCCCGAGGTCACAAGGTTTGCGAGCTGCCGAACCCAGACTTGGGCCGACTGGTTGAGCTGCTGTCCTGACTCAGTTGGGCGGACAAGCGGACCTTCTCTGGCTCTTGAGAGGGTGTCTCTGGATCTGCGGGGACTGAGAGAGGGGCCTCACCCCGTCACCTCCGCGACAGCCTAGAGCGCCCTCCTCAAGAAAGCGCCCCCGCGGGCACACTCACAGCTGCGGGGGGGGGCCCCCCCGCTGCCCGGAGACCCCGCCTCCGCGGTATTCGCCAAAGCACGTGGCGTCAGTCGACCCTTTGCTCCAGCTCCGCCAGCTCAGGCCAGGAAGCCCGGGGTGCGCGCGCGGTCGGGCCTCCCAGCCGGGCCTCTGGGTGGGGGAGAGGCGGGAGGAGGGGAGGGGGAGGGGGAGGGGCGAGGGAGGTGGGGGAGGGGCTCTACGTTCTCACAGACGCTGGGCACTGCCGACGGTGGTGCGGCCACTGCCCTCGGGACACTAAAGCTCGTCCCGTACCTTCTTCCGCTGTCCTGTGCGGCGGGCCGGCTCGGCGAGCAGCTCCAGTTCCGCCGACCGGACACCGAGGGCGGAGGCCGGGGCAGGGAGAAGCCCCGCCCAGCGGCTGCGGCGGGAACGGGCCCCGCGAAGGTCCGACAGGACGCGGCAGGCATTTACCTCAGACCGCGCCGCTGCCTCCCGGAGGCCGCGCCCAGGCCTCCCTCGCAGCCACCAGGGTGAGGTCCCTCCGGTCCCTCCCGACACCTCGGGCCAGGAACCGGACGGCGAGAGAAGGGGACAGGGCAGCAGAGGGGGCCTCCAAAGGCCGCAGGCAGGGAGCGGCGGCAGCCGGGTCGGCTGCTGAGGCGCGAGGAAGGGGCGTGTCCTGGCGCGTGCGGAAGGCGGGGCCAGGGGCGAGGGGCGGGCTAACCCGCGACGCCCTGGGACGCTGATTGGCTGCACAGCGTGGAGGCGTGAGGAGGGGGCGTGTCCTCACGTGAGCCCTCCGGGGGGCCAAAGCTGTCCGGGTAGGGAGGAGGGCGCGTGCGCGGACCTTGTGGCCGGCTCCTCCTTCTCCTCTTACTGGGGGCAAAGGGTAGGCCGTGTTAGTCTGGACATCAGCCCCTCATCTGCGCTTGCGGACTCTGGCCATGGCGGGACCTGAGTGGGAGTCGCTGGAGCAGTGCTTGGAGAAGCACCTGCCACCCGCAGACTTGCGGGAGGTGAAACGCATTCTCTATGGCAAGGAAACCAGGTCTGGGGCCCAGAGGTTGGGGGGTGGGGAGACCTTGGGGCCAGAGTGTGTGAGTCGGAGGAACCAGGGAGAAGGCTTTAGGATCTGAAGGGTTCTGTGGGAGCAATGAAGATCTGAGTTGGTAAGCAGAGGCCTTAGGATGTCTAGATGTGATGGCTCTGGGCCTCAGGGGTTGCACAATCCTCAAGTGACCCATTACAAGCCACTTTGTCCCTAGTTGCCTAGAACCCAGAAAGGAAAAGCATCTGGAAGGAAAAGGACAGGTTTTTATTCTCTGTAGCTTTCTCTGTGGCCGCCAAGCTCTCCTTCCCTTCTTCCAGGGACCAGCTCCCTCCCCAGAGCCAGGCCTGTGCTCTGGGTGTCTGGGTTAGTGCCTCCAGCAAGTCTACTGATTGTCTAGGCCCAGCCCCTACTTCCTGCAGTGACTGGGCCTCTGGCAGATCCTTGGAGGTAGAGGCTAGCTGGATCTGGCTGGAGAAGGGACCTTTCCTGCTGGCAAGCCACAAGAGTTAGCTACCACAGTCAGTGCAAATGTTTTTCCACTCCCAGCCAGTTGTGTGCAATCACTAGGACTTTCTGAGGTGGGTGCACTGCTGGACACTGGGGATACAATGCTAGAGAACACTTTGGCTCTTGTTTCTCTTCAGTACACTTTTCTCCAAGAAACCAGAAGATGTAAATTATATCTTGTTGCTCCTTTAAAACTCTGAAGGATTCCCATGGTTCTGGTTTGGAAACCCAAACTCTGACCCAATGAGCTCCTGACTTAATGTCCTTCCACTTTCTTGCCTATTGGTGGACTCCCCGTGAGCCATCCTGCTCCCCTCCCCAAGGCTACTTCCTGACCTTGTGGCAGTGACCTTGAGTCAGGAAACTAACTGATCAACCTGAAACTCGAGGGTGTTGATTGGATCAGTGGTTCTCAGCCACTCGCTGTAGAGGAGTTATTGCAGAGAGGTCACATCTCAGATCTCAGAGAACATAAAGTGAACTTTACCATTCACTAGTGAACATAGCTAGTGGTAAAGGTAGAACAACTGCCTTTGGGGATAGGAGTGGTACAGAACTCTGTCGAAAAGGGCTCTTTACCCAAAGAGGGATACCGGGGACTGGATGACCTTCAAGGTTCCTCCAGTGAAATCATATTTTCCACCACACTTGTCAAGAGGGAAGCCTCTGAGAGTTGAAGGTGTCTGCCATTTTTTTTAAAGATTTTATTTATTTATTCATGAGAGACAGAGAGAGAACGGCAGAGACACAGGCAGAGGGAGAAGCAGGCTCCTTGCAGGGAGCATGACATGGGACTCAATCCTGGGTCTCCAGGATCAAGCTCTGGGCTGAAAGTGGCACTAAACCAGTGAGCCACCAGGGCTGCCCTGAAGGTGTCTTAAAGCAGAGGTCTCAGGTTGGGAACAGGTGTTGTTTTTTTCTTTTTTTAAAAAAAATGAAGTAGACATGTTCTTCTGGAAAAAGAAATGGAGAGAGAGTTTGTGGTGTCAAAGAGAGGTAAAGCGCAAGAGTCTTAGGAAAAGGGAAATTTCTCATACAGGTGACTGGCTGGAGCACATTCTAAAAACTGGGATAAGGACTGCCTTGCAAAAGGGACCTTATGGAGCATTTAGATCTCTCTAGAGTGGGGAGGGATTATAATGGGCAGTAAAATGGGAGCCAATATCTATTGGCCAGTAACGACTGGGCCTCATCCTAGGGCTGGCTTATAATAACTGTTCATGAAAGGTTCTCCACTCAGCACTGAGGCCTTCCAGGCTTTACCTCAAGTGTATTATCTTCTATATTTGCTTAGTCCTTGCGATTGGGTGGGATTTGACTATGCACAGGATTGTGAACTGAAGATGGAAAATCATTGGTCATTTAAAAACTCTTTTCCCGCTTAAACCCCTGCTCATTCCTTGTAGCCTGACTCGGACATGGTCAACTCTGTGATGGCCTGGTGGGACCCCTCAGCCCCTCCTCGGGCCTCCTGACTGCATTCCACACAAGACCACCTTCTCTCCCGATTCCTTGCTGTGCCAAACACAAAGACGATGCTTAGTAAAAGTTTGCTAAGTGAATGAGCTGAATGGGGTTTTGCCTGGGCCAGGTAAATTAAATCCTCAAAGAACACGAACTCTCAACTTTAAGACAGCCAGAACCAAGAGGCATTTATTAATTCAGCAAACATTTATTGCATGTTTACTTTTGTCCTGAGCACGAGAAGTACAAGGATGAGTAAGCCATGGCTCCCTCCCACCCTGAGGCGCTTTCCGCCTCTTGGTGGTTGTCCTACATGGTGAGAAAAGGATGCAAGGAGAACTAGAGAGAGCGTATATATGTGGAGGTGGGGTTGGATCAGGAAGGTTTCCCAGGGGCGCCATGCTTGGACTGCATCCTGAAGGAGATGGAGAAATTGGTTTGGAGACAGGAAGGACACAGGTACTCCGAGTCAAGGCCCAGACACCAAGGAGCATGCTCATTTGGGGACTGCAGGTGTACAATGCTGTAAAGAGGAGGCAGAATTAGCCATGGTAGATCCAGGGGCTCTGTACACCATGCTAAGGCAGTGGGACCTGTCCTAATGGTAGTGGGAGCCTTTCAAGAATTTGAAAAGAGCAGGTGAAAGATGAGGCCTAAAGTAGAGTGCCTGGGGGCCCAAGAGGAGGAAGGATTCCTCCCAAGGCCAAGGTCTTAGTAGGTCAACAGGCAGTGTAGATAGCCAAACATAGCAAAGGAGGCGGATCATGCCAATTTCTGGCTTCAATCAGGTGGCTGGTTCATTCATCTGACGGGGAGTAGCTTTGGGGAAATCTGATAAGTTGTATTGGGGATGCTGTTCAGTTTCCTAGGGCTGCTAGAACAAATTACCACACACTGGTGGCTTAAACCAAAAGAAATTTATTCTCACAGTCCTGAAGACAGGAAGTATAAAACCAAGGTGTCAGCAAGGCCACACTTCTCCAAAGGCTCTGGAAGAGAATCCTTCCTTGCCTTCTCTAGTTTCTGGTAGCTTCTGGCATCCCTTAGCTTGTGGCAGCATCACCCCAATCGCCTCCAATAAAAGCAGGACCAAGGAAACCTCTGCCTCTCTGTCTTCATATGTCCTCCTTCTCTGCCCCCTGTCTCCTCTGGGCATTTCTTATAAGAATACCTGTCGGGCAGTTTGGGTGGCTCAGTGTTTTTGTTTTTTTTTTTTTGGCTCAGTGGTTTAGCACCACCTTCAGCCCAGGGCCTGATACTGGAGACTCAGGATCGAGTCCCACGTCAGGCTCCCTGCATTCCTGCACGGAGCCTGCTTCTTCCTCTGCCCGCCCCCCTCTCTGTCTCCCTCTGTCTCTCATGAATAAATAAATAAAGTATTTATTTATTTATTTATTTATTTTTATTTATGATAGTCACAGAGAGAAAGAGACAGAGGCAGAGACATAGGCAGAGGGAGAAGCAGGCTCCATGCACCGGGAGCCCGATGTGGGATTCGATCCCGGGTCTCCAGGATCATGCCCTGGGCCAAAGGCAGGCGCCAAACCGCTGCGCCACTCAGGGATCCCCAATAAATAAAATATTTGAAAAAAATACCTGTCACTGGGTTTAGGGCTTGCCTTGGATAGTCCAGGGTGATATTATCTTGAGATCTTTAATTACATCTGCAAATATCCTTTTTCCAAATAAGGTCTCATTCGCAGGTTGTGGGTATTAGGATGTGGATGTTCTCTTTTGGGGGGGGGCCACTTTTCAGCCCGCTACAGGGTCTATGCAGAGGTGGTCCTCATCAGGGGAGGCTGGGCTTCAGATTGTCCTCATTCCAGGTGGAAGAGTAGACGCAGAGTGGGACAGGCCCGAGGAGGGACTCAGGAGAACCTGATGTTAAAAGAATCAGAGGAAGTAGAGACTTTGCATGTTTCTCCAGAGTTGAGGAAGTAGGGATAGGGGGCCCTAGGGCAGATATCAAGGACACTGAGCAGGATAGGGACAGAGTGTTAGATGGTATAGGGAGGTCTAGAAGGATGAAAACAGGAGTGTGAGTCTCTCCCATTGCTAAAGAGGACCAGAGGCTAGTGGCAATTTGGCGTGGGGGAGTGGGCCCCAGGAAATGGGGCTGAGGAAGGTGAGGGAGGTGAGAGCTTTGGGGAAGCTCCCTACAAGGGGGAAGTGATGAGAGCAAGTGGTAACAAGAGGCACCTGTGGAGAGTGTCTTCTTTTTTCTGTTAATTAATTAATTAATGTATTTATTAATGGGAAAGACCCAAATAGCTTGTGAGAGAGAGGGAGAGAGAGCATGAGCAGGGGGAAGGGCAGAGGGAGAGGGAGAAGCAGACTCCCTGCTGAGGGCAGAGCCTGAGGCAGAGCTTGATCCCAGGACCCTGAAATCATGACCTGAGCCAAAGTCAGACAGGTAACTGACTGAGCCACCTAGGTGCCCCTCAAATAGCTTTAATGGTGGATGTGGTAGGTCTGTAGGAAACAGGAAGAGATGTCCAAGCTATGCATATTGTTAAATAAAAAAGGCAAGTAAGGGGAAGAGCAGAATATACAGGACACCAATGTAGTTTACACACATATAGGAAAATATCGGAAAGCTACCTACAGCATTGTTTAGTGAGATTGTCTCAGGTTTGGGGCTGGAGCTTAGGGGTGGAATGGAGAGGGGAACTTAGTTTTCACTTGATATCCTTTTCACTGTTTGCATCGTTTCTCCCATGAGCATGTGTTTCTGTTGTAGCAAAGCTCTAGTTTAATTATTTAAAACACTGATAGTAAAGAGCTATTAGAGGGGAAAGATGAAGTAGTTCTAGAAGCTAGAAGTTGCAGAAGAGGCAGGAGCTGGGCTCCCTCAGGTGAGGCCTGCCTTGACCCTGGTTGGCAGTGGATAGGGGCCAGGGGAGGGGCCCAGGAGAGTATATTGGGGCCAGAACAGGAAGTATGGGATTTCCTCCTTGATGTTAGAGGTGAGGCCATGAGGGGCTTTAGTAGCAGGATAAGGGGCGGAAGGGCAGAAGGCTGGCTATAGGAACCAAGGCAGGATTTCCAGCAGCATTGTGGTTCATCTACTGGTCTCTGCCCACCCTCACTCCACCCCTCCAGGCCATGGCTGGTCTATGTCCTACCACATACCTGTGCCAAGCCTTTAGTGGGCAAAGCGCTTGTTTATGGGTTGGGGCTCGAGGGTCTGTTGGGTTCTCCAAGAGTAGACAAGACAGGACGTGGTGATAGATCAGCTAGATAACAGGAGGGTGGAGGTGATGAGACAACCTGAGGGTAGTTCTCTATATGTGAGGTTGGAGTGGCCTGGCCTGCACCAGGGGGAATGAGTGTCCACAGGGAATGGGGTGGGGGAGGTGTGGAGGCAGCACTCAACTTAGTGACAAAGGAGGGAGGCTGCATGGCACATAATAATGGGGCTCATGGTGGTGGAAAGATGGGGAGAGCCCAACAGCTGTGGCATTGGATGAGGAAGGACAGCCAGAGGCTGAGGAACATCTGTCATCCAGGTGACAGCTATAGGTAGGCTTGCAAAAGTGAGACAAGATCTCTTCTATCTGCTCTCTTCCTGGGATGAGACCCAGACTGAGGACAGGCCCACCAAGATGTGTCCCAAAGACAGTCTTGCTCCCCCGCCCAAGGGCCTGAGGGGAAATGGACACACACAGAACTGTTCTCCTTCTTCCCCTGTCCCCCACGGTGACTTATCCTGGGGCTGAGTTCTATAGTGGGGGAGCCCTCCACTTGAGGACAGGAGGACCGTGTCTGAGGCAGTCACGGCACAGGGAGGTGCGGTGTGGGCACTGCTGCTATTTCTAACCTGCTAAAGCGAACGGAACCCTGACTAGTTGAAAAGCAGGCTGATTGTCAGGGGTGGAACCGAACTTGGAGCTGTCAGGGCCGTCACATGGAAACCGCCTGGCAGGGGGCGGCGACAGGGGGGCTTGGGCTGACAGGGCTGTGATTTTGAAAGAAACGTCTTTAAGAAAGTGATTTAAAGTAGGAGAGAAATATTATTATTAGATAATGGCTGTCAGGTTATTTTTTGATGTGTTCTCTGAGTATTTCATAACCATCTTGCCCCTAGATGGTAAGGCCTTCCTGGCCAGAGGCCGTGTCCTGTGCACGCGCCAGTTTCACCTCCGCGCATGGCACACAACCAGCACCGGGAGGCATTTCCTGTTTGGCCAGTGGTCACTTAGGTGGAAGGTTTTATAAATAATCCATTTGCCTTTGTTAATAAACCACAAAACAGGATGAGTGCCTACATCTTTGGCCTGGACACCTGCCTGGACACCTGAGGCTCACCAAGTGCCCCCCCACCTCCCGCCCCACCAGCACCAGGCATGGGACTGCCGCTGGCTGGGAGCAGCAGCAGGACAGGGAGGTGGGGCTCACCAGAGACTTGTAACCCTGAGTGGCAAATGGTCACAGGACCCCCCCCCACCCTCCCGCCATGCTTCAGTCCGGGGCCCTCCACCCAGCCGTCTCCTAAGCCCTGTTCTCAGCAGTAGCAGTGCCTCTGTCTGTGGCAACCTGCCCCACCCCCCAAGCTTAGCAGAGCCCTCTGATTCTAGTCCACAAACATTTTTGGGAATCCATTGCCTCTCTTTTTCTCTGCTGACTGCTGAGACTTACATCTCCACCCTGAGGTCAGCAGCTATAAAACATCAACCTTTTGGCCAGTCACCCTGCAGCCCCTCCCACTGCTCCCCCACTTGGCCAGGCCTGACCACAGCGCCTCCCTGGTGAAGTCCACGCTCAGTGTAGTGTCCATTCTTATCACCAGGCAGGGTCCTCCCTCCTCCTGGCCCCAGCTCTAGCTTCCCACAACTGGGCCTTGGTACTGGGCTGCTCTGTGTGCCTTCTTGCCAGATGCCCCCCCCCCTTCTCTACCTGATAGATGACTATCAGGGCGGTTGGAGGGGAATTTTAAATTTAGTGGATCTCATGCAAATTGTTTCCTTTCTTTCCTGCCCATTTAGGAAGCTTGATCTGCCCAGCAGGGCTTTTGAAGCCGCCTTGGAAGGGGACTTTGAGCTACAGGGATATGCCTTTGAGGCAGCAGAGGAGCAGCTGAGGCCACCTCGGACTGTGCGTGTGGGACTTGTTCAGAACAAAACTCCCCTGCCTGCAGATGCCCCTGTGGCAAAACAGGTGCAGCCTCTTTTGACCATAAATACGTAACCAGAGCCTTTGGCCCACTCTGTGTTTTGAACACATCCACAGTCCCTACAGGTCCGTAGGCACTATGAGTGGCCACCTAGATGCTTCTGCCCTCACCACTCCCTTCCCTGCAAGCTTACATCTCTGGCTCCTCTTTCTCTTCTGGCTCCTACCCTCTCTCTGCCTGCCTTTCACTCCTCACTGTTTTTTCCATCTTCCCCTCCACATCCTCTCTTGCGATTGATCTGAAGTTCCATTTATCAGTTGGGAGGGTGCCCTTTTGTCTGCCTCAGGCTCTCTCTGGAACTCTTTCTCTCTCAGTCTTTTGCCAGAAAGGTACCTGCCAGCATACACCAGTCAGGACCCATCTGTCCATCCGTGATCCTGAGGGTGGGGACTCACTAAACCCAGATGTCTATCAGCTGATGGTGCCTCAGGGTGACAGGAATATGATACGCATTTCCTTATGACCTTACGGTTAATATAAATGTGACAGCATCTTGTATGTCCCTAAAGAAATATGTTGTCACAGACACAAGTGATTTTATATACACTTCTTCACAGCATTCCTCCAACTGCTCAAACTTTTAAGACTTTCTCTGCAAAGGTTTCCTGGGGATACAGCATGTCCCAGAACTCCTAAGGATTCTCAAGAAAAGGTCAGTTGGATTCCAAGGCCGGTTCTGCATCATCTTTCACTTTGGTCCTTCTGCTTTTGTTGGATTAAAAGATCTCTGGTTTCTCGGTTCACTTTTTGTCTCTGGATTGGCTGACTGTGAATATGTTTCCTCAACCATCCCAGATTGTCAGGGGGCAGAGACACTGTTCTCACCCCCATGGCACCTACCTAGGAGCACACTTCACACCCTGTCAGGACCTAGCAAATATCCATGGTGTCTTGGTGTGTGGTTGTGCACTGTGCACCCATCAGCCCACAAGCTCCTTAGGGGCAGGAGGAGAGTGTCTTCATCTTCTTCGGTGTCCTCAGCACAATGTCTGGCTCCCAGGAGATGTTCAGAAGTGTTTGTTCAAAGAAAGACCAGAAGAACCAGGCTGATAAACCCAGACAGCACCCACTCTTTAGGATGCTGTCTCTCCCCTGTGAGACCGCACACCAAGACTCCATGGATATTTGCTAGGTCCTGACAGGGTGTGAAGTGTGCTCCTAGGTAGGTGCCATGGGGGTGAGAACAGTGTCTCTGCCCCCTGACAATCTGGGATGGTTGAGGAAACATATTCACAGTCAGCCAATCCAGAGACAAAAAGTGAACCGAGAAACCAGAGATCTTTTAATCCAACAAAAGCAGAAGGACCAAAGTGAAAGATGATGCAGAACCGGCCTTAGAATCCAACTGACCTTTTCTTGAGAATCCTTAGGAGTTCTGGGACATGCTGTATCCCCAGGAAACCTTTGCAGAGAAAGTCTTAAAAGTTTGAGCAGCTGGAGGAATGCTGTGAAGAAGTGTATACAACAAATGGTGGTGGAGGAGCACAGCAGCACAACAGGACCAGTGCCATCGTGGGGACCCACGAGGGAGTGCTGAGGCACCTCTTGATGCTCAGCCCTTTGCTGAGAAAGTCACTCCTCTGTGGGTGACACATGATATGAATAACACATCCAGGGAAGATTAGGTGGGGTGGGGAAGTACATTCCTGATGGAGGACACACCTGGAAAATGGGATCTAGCCATTGAATGATAAACACACAGGAAAAGAAAAAAAAGAAAAGAAATACATAGGAAAATGGAAGTGGCGAGACAAGTCATGCCAGAAGCCTTGAGATCAGACGGTAGAAAGTGGACTATGTCCTGAGGCAAAAGGAGCAGTTAGCCCAGGGGATGGCCAAGGTGTGCACTGGGTGTGGGCCCCTCTTACAGGAAATAGCCAATAAGCTATGCATTCCTCTGAGCAACTCCTTAGAGTAGATGGTGCTCTCCCAATTCTCCAGGTGATGAAACTGAAGCTCTGAAAGGCAACATCGAGTGTGTGGGACCCTAGAGCCTCTGTACTTCCACCTTTTATTTTTTTATTTTTATTTTTTTTTATTTTTTGTTTTTTGTATTTATGTATCTATTTAGAGCAGGAGAAGTGGAGGGGCGGGGGGACTCTCAAGCAGACTCCCCAGTGAGCGCAGAGCCTGATGCAGGGGCTGATCCCACAACTCTGAAATCATGACCTAGGCCAAAAATCAAGAGTCAGACGCTCAATGAGCCACCCAGGCACCCCATGCACCTCCACCGTTGACTGTAGCAGATTTTGGAGTTAATGAGAGCAGGATATATCAGAACCTCCCCACTCTACTCATCCTGTTGCAGCTGCCTAGGTGGGGGGTTGTTGCCCAAATATGGGGCTGAGTTCTGAAACTTATCTCAACCAATAGAAGAAAATGGGTTCTAATCCTTGCTTTTTGAATTTGGCCAGGTCACTGCCCTTCATAGACGCGTAGAAGCCATTGTAGAGGTGGCTGCAGTGTGCGGAGTGAACATCATCTGTTTCCAGGAAGCATGGAGTAAGTCTCTCTTGGGGTGCTTTCTCTGCTGCCTTCAGACAATAGTGTATTATCTCCATGTCACCAAGAGGACTACTTAGTTTTAAAAAATCTTCCCTTCTCTCATCTATAGAAAGATTCTTTTGTCAACCACATCAGAAAGTCAGGAATCCTGGCTTCCATGTACCCCAGTCTCATCTGGTCCTGCCAGTTCTTCCTCCGAAATTGTTCTGAACCCATTCAGCTTTCCTTCCCCATCTTCTCACCATTGCCCTGGTCTAAGGCACCATCAGCTCACACCTTGGCATCTGTAATTGCTTCCAGTACTTAGGCCCCTTCTAACTGGTTCATCACACCTTCTAGCAAAGATCTTTACAAAACTCAACTCTGTACTGCTTAGTCTCTTCCTTCTCCCACCTCTGCAGCCTCATCTCTGCTGAGCTCTGCCCTGACCTCCCTGATCCTTCACTCCCCTACAGCACCCTCTCCCTCCTTCCAGGCCACAGTGCAGCAGCTGCTCCCTCTGCCTGCCTGGCCTTCATCTCCCTTCTGCTTTCCTTGCCTTTTAGACCCTGTCCAACCTTCGCACAAAAGCTGAGAGCCCACCTCCCTATCTAAAATTTCCCTGTTACATACTGCTGGTACCATATACCTTTATTTAATTTTTATCCAAGTTATACATGCTCATGGTTGGGAGTCTAATGGTCTGCAAGGTCTTTTACCAAAAACTAGCTATCCTCCTTCCCAGAGGCAACTACTTTCTACTCTTAGTTGGTTCTTTGAGAATCTGACTTTGTGTTGCTGCTTCCTGATTTTTCAGTTTTGCACCATCTGTTAACTTCCTCCTATGGAAGAAGACAGCATTGGTCCCTTCCTCCTCTATCTGCTCTCTTACACATACCCTTCCTATCCTCCATCCATTCTCTGCCAAGCCATTTTGTAGATTTAGATTTCTTTTCCTGAATCACTTTCTCTTTTCCCCAGAATTTGCTTTGTTTTCTGCATACCTACCCCAAATTCTATCCTAAACTTCCTTCCAGCTTCCTCAATCTTCACATATTTAGACATGTGAAGCTGTCTGTTGATTCCATCTCCTTTTTTTTAATTGTTAAGTTTTTATTTTAATTCTAGTTAGCTAACATACAGTGTTATGTTCATTTCAGGTGTACAATATAGTGATTCAGCAGTTCCATATATCACCTGGTGCTCATCACAACAAGTGCATTCCTTAATTGCCATCACCTGTTTCTACCATACCTTCCCCACCCCCCACCCCCCCATGCTGGTTCCATCTCCTTGAAGGAATATGTTCCCAGAGCTTTCTGACTGCTCTAATCTGAATTAGTTGCCCCCTCTGCTGGCTGCCCGGCTGTCATCCTGGGATTTCCCTTCACCATCATGCTGGGAAGTTCCTTTGTCTTGTTCTTGTGTTTCTCCTATCCCACATCTTCCTCTTTCTTCATTTTCTCCCTCTTTTTGGTTGAGTAGTGTTCTGAGAAAACACATAGGAGGTAACCTTTTGGAGACCTTGCATATCTGAACATATGTTTCTCCTAAAACTAGCTTGATAGTTTAGTTGGGTATTAAATTCTAGGTTAGAAATAATTTGCTTTTAGAAGTTTAAACACATTGCTCCAGTTTCTCTTGGCTTTGCGTGTTGTTGACTAGTAGCCATTTTGACTGATGACCCACTCCCTATGATCTGTTTATTTTTCTCTAGTAGGTTATAGAATTTTCTCTTTTCTAATGCTTTTTGGAGTTTCATAATGATATGCCATCGTGTGTATCTATTTTATTTTTTCATTAAGTTATCAAATATTTATTGAGCACCTACTATATGCTAGGTGTCACCATAGGTACTTGAGATACAGCAGCAAGCCAAAAAGACAGACATTTCTGCCCCTAGAGGTGTCTTCTCATGGGAAATGGAGAGACAGTACATAATATGTATGTATTTTAATCCATTATTCTAGGAACTCAACGGGTTCTTCTAGGCTAGAAATGTGGGTCCTTCAGATCTACTATTCATTAGTGATTTTCTCCTCTTTTTTCTTTCTTCTTTTCCTGTTACTTCTACTATTATAATGTTAGAACTCTGGACTAGGTCCCTGATTTTCTTAAGTATTTCCTCCTATTTTTCATCTTTGTCTTTTTGCTCAGTTTTCTGATAGATTTTATCTAATTTGCCATTCATCCTTTTGTTTCTGCTGTCATACTTTGAATTTACAAGAGTTCTTTTGGTCTGAAAGCTCCTGTTTTATGACATCTTGTTCCTATAATTGCAGTACTTTCTCTTGTCTCTGAGGATGTTATGTAGCATTTTTTTCCCTCCTTCTTTGTTTCGTACTTACTCCAAATTGGTCTTTTATCCTCAGATGAATGGGGGGTTAAAAAACTGCAAGCTCTGTGTTTGTGGGAAGGGCTCCTCCCCATTGAGCTTCATGATAGGATGACTTGGTTTAGCTGTTTATTAGCTAATCCCCCATAGTAGTATCTTTGGGTCATTCTCTTCAGGCTGGCCAGAGTCCCCAGAGAAGATTCTTCTTATCTCTTGCCAAGAAGAGAAAGAGGATAGGGGTCCAGTGTGCCAATGTTTACTGAATCCCTCTGTTTTTCATCTTCATCTGTCCTGGCTTCCCCAAGGCCAGAGGCATTCTGTTTAAGCACCTCCAGGGAAAGAGCCTCTAGCCTTCTGCTGAGGTGAGAGAGAACTCATGCCAGCCTTTTGCAGGGAGGAGGGATCTGGGTTTCCAACTGCTTCTTAAGCAGATTTCTGACCAATTTTTGTTTGTTACCCCTCCCTGCTTCCCCACCTTCAGAGCCACGTGGTGCTTCTTGCTCCTAAACTCTCCAGGGGTGGGCAGCAGCCCAGAATGTGATCCTGGGGACTCAGGATCGAGTCCCGCGTCAGGCTCCCTGCATGGAGCCTGCTTCTCCCTCTGCCTGTGTCTCTGCCTCTCTCTCTCTCTCTCTCTCTCTCTGTCATGAATAAATAAATAAAATCTAAAAAAAAAAACAAACTTTCCAGGGGTATGTGGTGGAGAGCAAGGTGTTTCCCAGCTTCCTCTACTGCTGGGAGCCTGAATTTTCTGAGCCTATCACAATATCTACTCTCATCCTTCAGCTCTCCAACCTCTTGTGTTTTGTTGCTCTTGCCCTTCTCTCTGTGCTTCATCCTCCTGGGTTTGTACCTTTGCCTAAAAATCCCTTTATTGGGCAGCCCGGGTAGCTCAGGGTGGCTCAGCAGTTTAGCACTGCCTTCAGCCTAGGGCCTGATCCTGGAGACCTGGGATGGAGTTCCACGCCAGGCTCCCTGCATGGAGCCTGTTTCTCCCTTGGCCTGTGTCTCTGCCTCTCTCTCTCTCTCTCTCTCTCTCTCTCTCTCTCTCTCTCTATGTGTGTCTCTCATGAATAAATAAATAAATAAATCTTTTAAAAAATCCCTTTATTGTTATTTGGTACAGTTGCAAAAAAGAGCAAAGGTGTGCCTCCAATTTGCCATCTGAACTCAGAAGTTCATTTCATTTTTCATGTTCCTGATTACTTATACTTTCACTCGTTTGGGCAACACTTTTGATTTGTCTGCCTCTTCCATTAGACCATAAACTCCATGGGGTCATTGTCTACATGGTGTTAGTTTATTTTTCCAATTCTAATTACCACCCCTATTTTTTTTACCACCCCTATTTTTTAACGTTAAAAAGATTTAATTGTGGAAAAATATATATAACATAATGATCACTTTAACCATTGGTAAATGTACAATTCAGTGATATAAAATGCATTCACAAAGTTGTATAACCACTATCTATGCCCAAGACTTTTTCAGTATCTCCAACAAAAAATCTGTACTCAATTAATAAATACCCCTTTATCCTGCACCTCTCATAACCTCTATTCTACTTTCTGTCTCTATGAATTTGATTACTCTAGGAACCTCATGTAAGTGGAATATAGTATTTGTCTTTTTGTGACTGGGTTATTTCACTTTAGGATAATGTTTTCAAGGTCCATCCTGCTGTGGCATATGTCAGAATGCCTTTCCTTTTTAAGGCTGCATAATATTTTACTGTATGGATAGACCACATTTTGTCTATCCATTCCCCCCACCCCCGTTTTGTCTTTAAAAAAATTTATTTACTTGAGAGAGAGTGTGTGCACAAGCAAGTGGAGGTATGGAGAGAGAGAAAGAATCTCAAGCAGACTCCCCATTGAGTGAGAATCCTGACACAGGGCTCCATCCCACAACCCTGAGATCATGACGTGAGCTGAAATCCAGAGGCTGACACTTGACCGATTGAACCACTCAGGCTCGGTTTTATCTTTAAATGTTTTATCGTTAATGAACACTCCCTGCTACATGACAGACAAAATGTTTATGGTGGTTTAAACAACTTCTTCCTTTTTTTGGATCTGGAAAGCTCTCACTCATCCATTAAGACCTAGCACAGACATCCCCTTCTTTGGGGGACCCTGGGAACTCCCCTCTGATACTGTGCAGCCACTCAGTCCCCCCATCTAGGCTAGCAGCTCCTGAGGGCTGGGCTAGGTCTAAATTTAAAGCTTGACTCCTGGAGTGTTGGTTCAATAAATAGAGAATCCTCTTCCCCTCTAATCTGAAAGCTGTAGTTGGACTTTGCAGCCAGCCTCCCCCAAACTCCATTTCACATTCTTCTTTGGAAAGTTTGTTTACAATGGTTAGGTAAATAGGAAAAGAAGCCATTAAAATGGAAATAGAGAAACTTGGAGGGTTTAGCAACCTGAAATGAAGTCAGAAAGGGAGGTTTTATTCTCTTGGGTACATGAGTCTTTCCTAATGTGCTGAAAGCTGAGAATAAATGGTCATTAAGGATCTTTTTTGTCATTAACAGCTTTTTTTGTTGACTTCCTTAAAATAGTTCATCCCTCTTTCCTGAAGGCAAGCCTGGAGAGTCTTGAGCCAGGTACCAAGGCTCCTGGGGTTGTTGCTGGCAGAACTGTGGTGGCCAAGGTGGTGGTGGTACCATTGGTAGCCTCTTCACACTGGCGCCATCTTAGAACCAGCCATCCTACAACTGAAAGGAATTGGGAGACTGATTTTTTTCATCTTCCTTCTCTGTGAAATGAAGAGAGTCTCCCCTATTTCAGAAAGATATGGGGACCAGCTGCCTATTACTGGGCCCATGACCCATGTTTGGGAAAGGGTGGCTACAATTAGTAGCCCCAAACAGGCCACCTGCCCCCACTTAAGACACTTGCCATTCACATCACACTGCTTCCTCCAAACCCTCCCTGCAGGTTACTCAGTTCTGAGTAATGTGAACCATAGCAAGCATCTGGAAACTTCCAGGAGGCTAGTCCTCCTGAAAGAAATGGACTTAGGTCATTGGAAGGAGGAAGGTCTAAAGAGTGTACAGAATTGGTCCAAATAAAGAATTCAGTACTCCAAAGCAAGAAGAAAAAACCAAACAGCCCACTAGGAAATGGGCAAAGAGTAGGAACAAGATTGCTTCAAGGATGAACCCAGAAAGGCCAGTGACCATGTGGCAAGGTGCTTCACCCACAGGTGATAATCTAGTATATATATATAGTATATGGCTTAAAACTGTGGTGCATCCAGTGGGGATGAGAAGTGGTGCCAGTTCACAACATCAGACCTGTGGACACTGGAGAGTAGGCTGGGGAGGAATGGAACACATGTAGCCAAAAATCCCTGTGCCTACCTCCATTATAGCCTCCACCCTCCCCCACAAAAGCAAGCATCATCTTGAACCTGGTATGTGTAATGTTCTGTGAACTGTTACTACATATGTAGGTACCTGCTGTTTGAAAAATAAAAAAAGCAAACAAAAATCAGTTTATGAATTTAATGAAATTTCTTATTTAATTAGCCCCCTGATGGCATCTAGCCAGAGAACATGGGAATAATGCATTTATCCTTGGGGAACATTCAGTCCATCATCCAGCGGTTCCCAGACTCCTTATGGGAGTTCATTAAGTGAGTGGCTTTTCTTTTCTCTCTCCTCATGAGGGGGAACATTTCTATGGTGATGTGCTCAGGGTACCCAGTGCCATCCTCAGTGGCCCTCATGCTTTCCCCAGGGAGTCTTGGCTGTGCTTGTACCAACCCACAGATTGGCCAGCAGTTTGGAATCTGCAGTAAAATATACATAAGATAACTCTACCATTTTAGCCATTTTTATACAGTTCAGTGGCATTAAGCACATTTGCACTGTTGTGCAACCATCACAATCATCCATCTCCAGAATTTTTTCCTCTTCCCAAACTGAAACTTGGTACTCCCCCACCCAGCCCCTGGCAACCACCATTCTAATTTCTGTTTCTATGAATCTAGCTATCCTAAGTACCCACATATAAGTGGAATCCTATAGCATTTGTCTTTGAGCCTCACCCATATAACATCTGTCTTCTGTTTAAGGCTAAGATTCAGTATAAGGCTGAATAACATTCCATTGCATGGATACATACCACATTGGGTTTATCCAATCATAAATCGATGGACACTTGGGTTATTTCCATCTTGCAGCTGTTGTGAATATGAAATGATTTAAGACTGTAGTAAAGAAGTTTGGGGCAGCCCTCTGTTTTGCTATGAAGCCTAGAAGGTTAGAGACTCCCTGGCACCCATATTTAAGGACACAGGACACGGTAGCCAGGCTGAGACACTCAGGAGCCTTGTTATCTTGTGGAGACTCTAGCTGCTGCCAAGGAGCACCTCTTCAGAGGCCATGAATGTTGGATGTGATTCTGACTCTCTCCTCTTCACAGCTATGCCCTTTGCTTTCTGTACAAGAGAGAAGCTTCCTTGGACGGAATTTGCTGAGTCAGCCGAGGACGGACCCACCACCAGATTCTGTCAGAAGGTAGGACATTAACTGCTCCTATGACAGCAGCTGCCAAACATGTACAGGTCACAGAGCACGGCCCCAGCTGCTGGGTGTGGCCCTTCACCATGGAAAATGCACCCATTTGGTGCTTGTTTTGCCAGATGAGATTAGATAAGACTATTTGCTGCCCTTTTTATAGTGTACTTTCATTTAAAATCATAGAATTTCAGAGCCAGGAGGGCTCTTAATGGCTTTTTCAGGTGAAGGAGCTGCAGCCCAGGGAGGGGGGTGACCTCTAATGGTAGGTTCTGTAACCGGCAAGTGGCAGAAGTGGCCCTTGGGGACCAGGGATGAGATTGATTCCTTGTCCAGACCTCTGCTGGTGCCCTGCATTATGTAAGCTTCTCTGTGTGGCCAGTCTCATCAGCACAGAGATGAGTCTTCATTTTTCTTTATTAAAACCATATAATGTTGTATGACCCCATGGATATGAAATGTCCAGAATAGGTAAATGAATAGAGGCAGAAAGATGTAATTGCTAGGGGCTGGACAGGGAGAGGGGTTGGGGAGTTGCTGCTAATGGGTATGGGGTTTCCATTCGAGGGTGATGAAAGTGTTCTAAAATTGTATTGTGGTCATGGTTGCACAACTCTGTGGATGTACTGAAAACTACCCAGCAGTACACTGTATTTTCCCCCTCACCCATCAGCACTGACCTGAACAGCATACTTTAAAAGGATGAATTTTATACCATTTGAATTTTATCCTAATAAAGTAGGTATCACACACAAAAAAACCCAACTCATAACAACAAAGAGGTTACAAATGATGCCTTATCCTTATTCTTAACAAAGCACTTTTTTCACTTCTCCATGTCCCATTTCAGATTTTAAATATACATTTAGGGATTTTTTTTTTGAGCAGAACTGTAATCACAGTGATTCGATTAAAACTTAGTGTAGTTCCAAACATCAGTGTTCTCACACTGTAAGAAAAAAAATCTGTCATCTGCCAGGTTGTTGATTCTGTGCTGTGGATAAAGGAGGAGGGGACTGGTTAAGTGGTGACTGTAGATGACAGATTTGAACCATGGCCAAAGGAAGAGAAGAGAGGGAGTGGGGATGAGAAGTGGTGCCAGAGGTTACCTGCCTCATAGAGAGGGGCCCAGGGTCTGTGGACGCCCTTACATGGCTTGGAACATCACCTTCTGCCCATTGTGCCTTTCCTCTCTCCATCAGTAGGGCCAGAGGTAGTGACAGGCTAGTTAGAGTTGAGGAAAAATGACCCTCTGGAGCTGCTTGTCCTGATGATCACCCGTTCCGTAATGTTCTTATTTGAGACAAAAGGGAGTCAGCATCAAAGAATTTGGTTTGGCTTGGTTGGTATGATGAGAAGTATGATGAATGTTCTTTTTTTTATTGTAGTAACACATAAAATTTACCACCTCAGCCATTTATAAGTATATAATTCAGTGGTATTAAGTACATTCACATTGTTGTGAAACAGATCTCCAGAACCTTTTCATCTTGTAAATCTGTACCCATTAAACAATTCTCCATTCACCCCCAGCTACTGGCAACCAATATTCTACTTCCTGTTTCAATGAATTTGACTACTTTAGATACCTCACATAAGTGGACTCATTCAGTATTTGTCTTTTTGTGACTGGCCTATTTCATGTAGTATAACGTCTCCAAGGTTCACTCATGTCAAGGATGATATCCATGTCATCCATGTGATGGCAAGATTTCCTTCCTTTTTAACAGTGAGTAATATTCCATTGTGTGGATATACCACATCTTTTTTAAGATTTTATTTTTAGTTTTTAAAAGATTTTACTTTTAAGTAATCTCTGCACCCAATGTGGGGGCTTGAATTTACAACCCTGAGATCAAGAGTCACATGCTCTACCAACTAAGCCAACCAGATACCCCAGATATATACATTTTATTTATCCATTTCTCCATCAGTGGATTTTTAGGTTGCTTCTACTTTTTGGCTCTTATGAACAGTACTGCTATGATCGCTGGTGTCCACTTATCTCTTCAAGATGTTCTTCCAGATACATACCTAGAAGTGGGACTTCTAGATCATACTGTAGTTCTAGTTTTAAGTTTCTGAGAAACTGCCATACTATTTTCCACAGCTGTTGCACCAGTTTACATTTCCACCAATAGTGCACAAGGATGACAATTATTCTTACTTGGCTAAGCTTGGGGATCAGGACAACACTGGCATTCAGTCTTCCAGAGAACAAATACAAATGATAGGTAGCTCTGAACTAAGTCTAATTATTTAGTCGGATCATTTAATTCTTCAATTAAAAAAAAAACTATGACCATTGATTTAAAAGTATGACTCTGCTATATTCCATTATTTTTCCAGCTGGCAAAGAAGCATGACATGGTGGTGGTATCCCCCATCCTGGAACGAGATAGGGAGCATGGGGACATTTTGTGGAACACAGCCGTGGTAATCTCCAATTCTGGAGCAGTCCTGGGAAAGACTAGGAAAAACCACATCCCCAGAGTGGGTGACTTCAATGAGGTGAGCTGGCCCTACAAAAACTAGCTCAGCTTGCTGGCCCTTCTGTCCACACATGCCTGCAGATCTTTTCTATGAGGGAAATTCTATGTTGGATTGTGTCTCATCACACAACACTGGAACACAGTGTGGCTGTAGTGCTCTGGGGTATCCTGCCATTGTCATGTATCACATAGACAGATGGGATTCAGATGGGATTCCCAGGTGAGTCCCAAACACCAAGCACAGGGGGATATTTCTTTTTTTAATATAACCTGACTTGGCTTTCTGAAATTCATCTTTGAGGTTAGTAGTATATAGATTAAACCAAAATAAATTGTGCACAAACGTGAAATGATTCCTGCAGCTCCTTTCAGACTCTGAGCTTGTCACTCGTCATGGTCTATCTCTCGTTTGGGAAGTGGGAATCTTTGTTCGTAAGTCACATGAGGTTTTAGCCATGTCAGTGTGTTGGATAGCAGGGGTAAATGTAATCAGGTAAAGCTTTGTGCCCATGATCAAGGTATAAGTCAAGAGAGCTATTCTGATTAGTTAATGCCAAGGCATGAGTGGGTTGGATGAAGAGGGGTGGACGTTTGAAGGAGAGAAGTAAACTCCACCTAATACCTAAGATAGGAAACCTTAACTTGATCTGCAATAAATACAGTTGTTCAGAATGTGATATCCCCAGTCCTTTGCTACTCTCCCTGATTGTGGAGGTACCAGCCATACTCTCAGTCTTGTCAGGAAAACAAGGAGGCATCTACAGAGCTAGATGACATTCCCTAGGGAGAAAAAAAACAAAACAAAACAACCCTAGTGTTTCTTAGTGACAGCTGGAGGGGGGTGGGGGGGAGGGGGGAAGATGTGCTCATCACCTGTTTACCCTGGGATTAATCTTTAGCTCCCAGCAGATAGTGAAGGGCTTGTCTCAACACACCAGGATCTAGTCCAGTGTCCACCACATGTACACATCCTGGTTGCTGTCTGACCCTAACAAATTCTGAAATTAATGGGAGGAGGCAAAATGTTCTGGGAGTAAATCCATTTGGGACCTCAACGAGCCCTCTAGCCACCCACCCCCCAAGACAGGGCCATCCATGAAAATATCCCAAAGCGAGCACCCCGAGGGGGGCAGACAGAGAGGCAGACATAGTAGGACTATGTTCCATCTATCTGCCCTGAAGGGACATCCCTAGTCCTAGGCAGGATGCTCAGGGAGCTCTGTGGAGAACACTTTCAGGGTGTGAGTTCTAGTCTCAGATTAGCCTTCATCAGGGGCACCTGGGTAGCTCAGTGGTTGAGCGTCTGCCTTTGACTCAGGTCATGGTCCCGGCATCCTGGGATCAAGTCCTCCATCAAGCTCATCGTGGGAAGCCTGCTTCTCCCTCTGCCTCTCTCTCTCTCTGTGCCTCTCATGAATAAATAAATTAAAATCTTAAAAAAAAAAAAAAAGATTAGCCCTCATCAGCTGAACGAGTCACATAGCCACCAAAGCCGTGGTGTTCCCCTGGCAAGCAAGGGTTGCTCTGGATGAGTTTTCAGTCCCTGCAGCTCCGACATTCTTCATAGGAACGTGTGGTTGGTAAAGACATTGACTAACTCATGTTAACATTGACCAAACCTTAACCATTAGTTGTACCATGACTGAAACCTAACCAAAGTTTATTCTTAAAATACTGTGGGAAATTGCTTTGGGGATTTTTTGGACATGCCATGAAAGAAATTGTGGGTAAATGCTTCAGCCATGGTGATTTCCCAATTGTTGGCTTATAGTTATTGTGTCTGGTTTCTTAAATTTTTCTTTTTTTTTTTAACTTATTGAAGTTTCGGAATTTAGAGTCATAGCCAAGATTGTTACTTTTGGGGGTACTGGCAATATTTTATTTTTTCTGTCAGGTCCAAGGAAAGAGAAATCATACAGCTCAGAGATTTTCATAAATGGCCCTTTGTTTTTCAGTCAACTTACTACATGGAGGGAAACCTTGGACACCCGGTGTTCCAGACTCAGTTTGGGAAGATTGCAGTGAACATTTGCTATGGGCGTCACCACCCTCTCAACTGGCTCATGTACAGCATCAACGGAGCTGAGATCATCTTCAACCCATCAGCCACTATCGGAGCACTCAGGTGTCTCAATAGGCAAGATCTGGGAGGGTTCTTGGGACCTCACTATCTTCTGCCTATGGCCAAGTTGCAGGGTTCAGAGCTGGGTTTAGTAAACTATAGCAGGCAAGTGCGGCCACGAGGTTGTCTAACAAATCTGAGACATGGAATTGTGTGTCGTATATTTAACCAAGTTTTCTGTGGGAAAAAAACCCAAAACTCAACATCAGTTAAGACACCACCCCACCCCACCCCCCGCAAAGAGCTACTCTGCTATAAAATGCCATTTCTTTGCTGTTATTCTGGACACTGAGATGATAACAGTCCCCCTCCACTAATGCCATAATTGTCAGGATTCCAAAGAGCTCCTCTTCTAAAGTGTCCAAAGCATAGTAGGTGCCTGGCCAGCATTAGCCCCCTACCCTGTCACAGTCACTGTTTCCCTGATAGGGGGACTGCAGATTCCTAAGCCTCTTGTCTGCAACATCCAGCACATGGAGGACAGATGCCTTGATGATAGAAGGAGCAAATGAGGGAATCAAAGCTGAGAAGGTCCTTAAGAGATCAGCCAAGTGGCTCTGGAATTTGTTTTTAACCAGCAGTGTTATAACACCCAACATGCATTTAGGTGTTAGCTTCATCCTGAAACAGATAAATCTATTCTGATGAAGGCAGTGGGATGGGCCCTGGCAGTCCCTGGGCTCCTTTGCAAGACCCCTGGGGCCCTTCATTTAATAATGGCTGGGAGCTAAGATGATCCAGCATGACTGCACTTCCGCTGCTTCTCTCTTCCCCGAAGGCTGAGTATTTGGGTGGTTTCCAGTTTTACATCATTAACAAGTACCAGAGCTGTAGGAATTTATGTGCAAATATCTTTCTTCCCAACTCACTTCCTCCAAGGCAGGATTCCTGGATAAGGAGGTTCTGCTGGCTTTCACTCCTGGTGGCCAGTGCCCTAGCAGTGGGATGCTGGTGGTGGGGGAGAATCCCTGGTCCTTCTTTGCAGGGCAGCTGGGGCAGTTCCAGTGGGCAGCTTTGAGTTCTCTGCCGGCCTACACCTGTCACTCTTCTCTTTTAACTAAATTTCAGTTGAATTTCTTCTGAAGGTCAGAATGTGACATTTACTTTACCTTTTCTTTTAAGCACGGTGCCCCCTTCTCAAGAGCGACATCCCCACAGCATTCTGATTTGCACAGCAGGTTCCTCAGTGAGCCAGAATGCAAATCTAGTGGGGCCACCTCAGGTCAGCTGCCCCCTCCATGCGCCTAAATTTCCTATCTGTATGGAGGAGGGGCGCTGTTGATCAAAAGGGGAAAATTTCCTCTTCGACATTCTTCATCCCCAAAGAGTCTCCCTGGGGCCTCATGGCAGCTTGGTTACTATGACAGAGTCCAAAGGCAGCTGTGACGTAGGGTAATTACTGGTCATCTAGCATCCGGACCTGGGTAGAACTTCCAGGCCACCTCCGTGGGGCAGCTTCCTCCTGCAGGCCATGTGTAAGGCATTCAGCAAGTGCCATCTACCTGCAGGGGTCCCTTGAGGAACCTGAAGCCATTGTCCTGAGCATCTCTGCCTGAACTGGCTCCTGGGCCAGGGCAGGCAAAGCTGCAAACTCAGATGGCCGCCTCCCTGACCTTATTCTGTCGGGCTTTTATCAGCCCCAATTAAGCAAACAGAAGCACCTCAGTGTAATATGCACATAACTGCTTGTGTCTTCAGCAGCCTATTAGGCTTATTACAAATTATTGATTTTCCTTCCTCAACCAACAATCATTCAACTCATGCCTTTCAAGGGTGTGGTGAGGCTGGCAGTTAAAACGATAACATGTCCTTTGGAAAGCAGTATGTTTCATGAGCTCCCAAAATGTTCACAACCTTTGACCAGATAATTATACTCTTAGAACTTTACCTGACAGAGTATCTAAAAGAGGAGGAGAAGGCTGTATGCGTGAAGATGTTTCTGGCAGCTTTATTCATAATAATAAAAGAGCTAGAGGCGAGAGAAATGTCAGGGTTAGGTAAATTTCAGCCCATCTCTTCCATGTTAGGCCACAACACACTGAAAAGTCATTACGAAGATAATTCAGCATCATGACAAAAGCCTGTGAACAAAGAAAGATGTTTCCAGGCTGTGGTCAGAACTCTTGTAAACATCTTTTGCCAAGGATGGGTGTGGAGTGTGGAAAAGTTACAACAGATGGTTTATTAGGTTGGTGGGATTTCTGAGTGATTTTCTTAAAATGATAAATGATTATTTGTGGAATTGATGGAGACTGTTTTTCAGCACAAGGCCAGGCAAATCCCCACCAGCTGCACACAAGCAGTGGCTTCTGGAACCACCCATTCCTTCTCTGGCATGTCCTGTCTCCTCATTACACGTGCTCTGTGGGTTGGTAGGGTGTCATCACTCATTTTGAGGTCCCACAGTTCTAAGCATACAATAGACTTGAAGTATTTTTTGATGAACTGAACCGTCCTGACAGTGCCATGCAGCCTGTGTGCTTGAAGATTTCTGCCATGTATGTGTGTTAATAGGACAGTGGAGATTCCATCCCATTGATGCATGTCTCCTTCCCACTGTGATTATTTTTAGGGGCTAGTGTGGCCACAGTGGGAATAACACAGATGGTCCCATGTCCCAGTGGGCTGTCCGTGATTCCCGCACACGCTGGGCTCTCATGAACCTCCAGCTTCCTTTCCCTTGCTTGTTTTGAGAGCCCAAGTTTTATTGCCAGCTGTGGGTTTGAGTCCTACGCAACGTACCCTCCCAGGAGAATTGCAAGAAAGATGTTTTATGGCACTCACCCTGCAACTGTCTATTTAATTCCTGAAAATGTCATTTACGGGTGTGTTTCTATAAAAATCCTTTCTTAAAAGTTTTGTCAGCTTGGCTTAGCAGCTGGGGCGAAAAAAGCAGCAAAATGAGTCCCCTCAATCAAGCTTGTGATTTTTTCCCCCCAGATTCATGAATCCTCCTGAGAATTAGGCTTGTGACAAGCACCCACTCCCTCCACCTACTCCCGGTTTAAACCAGGTGCACACTGACAGGAAGGAAGATTCTAGGGCATTTTTCTTGCAGTCACTCAGTATTTCTAAGTGGGCATCACACCTGTCAATCCAGAATCTTAATGATGTTGTTCCTCAGACAAGAGATAATTAGCACCAAGAAGGTTCCCTGGATTCCGTGGCACATTGTAGTTAGTGGGCTAGAGAAGGACAGGGTCTTCAGTTGGGACAAGCTTTCCCATCATGTCCCACGTATGTGGGCACCGAAGTGAGGAAGTCCCACAGCTCAGCTGTGTCCATGTGGTGCCTCCTTCCTGGGCCAGTAAGAGGATCAAGGAGCCCCTGCTTAGAGTCTCGGGGTTCAAAGGAGGAAAATAAGAAGGCACTGGGATGGGGACCAGCTCAAGGGAGGCGACATCTGCTACAGAATCCACTTACCCCTTCCAGTTACCTAAATTCCTTTCAGGTTTACTCTGTTGGCTTGACCTGAAATCTCTCCCTCTGGAGACTGCTTTGCAAGTCAACAGAGCAGGGTAGGAATTAGGCAGCCGCTTGAGCCTTCATGGGTGCATGAGCCCCTAGGCCTGCAGCTTCCTTCTTACATTTGCCAGGTGAAGCTCTGCCCAGCCCGGAATATAAATTCCTCACCTGACCCAAGAGGAGGGAAGGAAAGAGAACTAGCAGTTAGGGTGCTTCTGCCTCATAGCCTCCTCTAGAAGCTTCACGTCAATGGTCAGTCTTTACAATATCCCTTTAAGGAAGTTTCAGAAATGGAAACTGCAGCTCAGCACTGCTTCGGCCTGCAGCAGGCCTGGCCCCAAAAGGCTGCTTGGGCTTAAGCATGGGACAAGTTGGCCTGATTGTGGGTTTGGGACACCTGCAGCCACAGTCTCCCCGGCCATCTCCACCGCAGACCTGAGAAGGCCTACAGCCTGGGTGGAGCTCGGGGCCAAGCACCCACCCAGTCTGGCCGGGAAGTCAGCCACCTGGTTCCTCTCTTTTCTCTCTCACAGCGAGTCCCTGTGGCCAGTTGAGGCCAGAAACGCAGCCATTGCGAATCACTGCTTTACTTGCGCCATCAACCGTGTAGGCCAGGTAAGTCCCAGCAGTCTGGCTGGGCTTGGTCAACCAGGTGTGCTGGGGATGGGACAGAGCTGCTAGGAAAGCTATCTGCCCAGAGGGGGGCCTGGCCTCTTTGACCAGCAAAGGACACAAGGGAAGCAACTGCCTGCTGGCCCTGGTGGGGACACATTACACCTCTTCCCTCTGTTCCCTCTCTGTGTGCGTGCCACAAATCCTAGGGTACTAGAAGAGGGGAGACTGGCTTCATCTGTTACTTTTAAAGGTAGTACTATGTCTCTCTTCTGTTTTGGTCTGTTTTGGTCTGTGGCTGAAATCCTTTTGAAAGGCTGTCACCCTGTCACCACCAAGTCTCCTGTTTCGTATTTTTCCCCATTGACCCCGTGCACTAAGCAGTCTTGACTACCAAACACAGTGCGTTCATTATGTAATAATACTCTTCCTCATTCTTATTAATCGGATGTCAAACTCTAATCTGAGCATCTGCTCAGGCTGAGATAGCCAAGGTTTCTATACAGTAAGTCGGCCCAATTTCTGATAACATGAAGAAACACAGTGCTTTCATTAGCTGTGTTACAACGTCACAATTTGAGGTAGTTTCCATTAGGCTTTGGGGAACAGACTAAAAGCAGTGTGTGAGCACCCCCATTCGTCCCTCCAGAGACCCTAAGTTGGGGCTTTATTTCCCAGGCAGACAGACCTCAGCTGCCTGCCGCAGCCCTGAGAACCACTCTGCACAGTCTTTTTCTTCCCTCTAGGCAGCTTATCAACTCCCCAGAGACGAAGTCCAGGTTTTTACCTTGCCTGTCAAATTCCCTGCTGGCCGCCTGCGTTGGCCCAGTGCTCAGCAGGGACATTTCATAAGTACTTGTTGATTGCCCGGCCAGTACAGGCCATTCTTTTTCTCCCTTTAACTGTTTCTTCCTTCAGTCCTCCTCAGCCTGACTTTGCGGTGGACGCGGTGGTAGTGCCACCTATAGGTTTACCTTATCTCGGTTTTCTTTCACAGGAGCACTTTCCCAATGAGTTTACCTCTGGAGATGGGAAGAAAGGTATGTTCCAGGAATTTCCGTGATTGGCTGCTGCAGAGGAGAGGGCCTCACTGTGCCATTATCTGTCTGCCTCCTCCGGGTAGGGGGCAGGGTCAGCCCCACAGACTGTTTCTGCACGTGTGGTGTGCTGTTGGAGGGGCGCACTTCTCTCCTGACTATGGCTGGGTCCTGGGCTTGTGCCCACCTCATTCCCCAATTAAGGATGAAAAGGCTTTGGGTTAGACTCCATCCCTCCCCTGGGACTGGTAAGAGAATGGTCCTAGAAGACATGGGAACTCCTTTGTGCACTCTTTGAAAGAGGGGGTACTTTACTCACCCCACACATCTCTCTTTTCCTTTGTCCTTGTTCACCTGCCACCACACCCATCCCAAGCTGCACAAATGTCCCAGAACATTGGTGTGGACTGCCTTGGGTTCCTCGAATTCACAGCTTGTTTTTTTTTTTTTTAAAGATTTATTTATTCATTCATTCAGAGAGAGCAAAGAGAGAGGCAGAGACACAGGCGGAGGGAGAAGCAGACTCCATGCAGGGAGCCCGATGTGGGATTCGATCCCGGGTCTCCAGGATCACACCCCAGGCTGCAGGAGGCCCTAAACCCCTGTGACACCGGGGCTGCCCTCACAGCTTGTTTTGATCTGAAGGCAGGTACCACCTCACCTCTGCTAGGAATTCCCCACTCACTGGTCCCAACTCCGGCTGGGAATGTGGGAGGGAGGTCTCAGAGTTAGCTTAGGGTGTCCCCTAGAAAGGCAGAGAGGACTGAGCAGGTCTGTTTTCCAGAAAAGCACTTTCTAAGAGGGTTCCAGGGGCACCTGGGTGGCTCAGTGGTTGAACGTCTGCCTTTGGCTCAGGTTGTGATCCCGGGGTCCTGGGATTGAGTCCTACATCAGGCTCCCTGCAGGGAGCCTGCTTTTTGCTCTATGTCTCTGCCTTTCTCTGTGTGTCTCATGAATAAGTAAATAAAATCTTTAAAAAATAAAATAAAAGGGTTCCGGATCCCCTCACGTGAGGCCCCAAATGTCCAGTCTCCAATCCCAGTTAGCTCCCTACAGACAGAGATGCAGAAAGGCAGGGGAATGAGGTCCACTGGGTGGCTGCTGTGCCCAAGCCCCTGCTAGGCCCTGCACTGTGCCCACCTGCTCCTTACTCGCCTATGGTGTAGCTCTTAGTGCCACTTGACTTGTGAGGGGACCCAGGCGTGGAAGGAAAGTACGACAGACACAGCTGGTGAGGCAAGTGAAAGCAGAGCCTCTAGCTCACCATGCTGGGCCACCACAGGAAGCAGACACACAAGAAGCTCTGGAGAGCTATGTGACTCCCTTGGGCTGAGGGTGGCTAATGTTGGAAATAAGGGCTAACACTTATACAGGGGTGACCTTTAACAGTTCCCAGGGGCAGCGGTGAGGGCTGTGAGGGTGACTTTGCAGCCTCAGGCCTGAGGAGGGAAGCATGTCCTTTGTGTGTGTTGGGGGGTGTGTGTGGCACAGACACTTTGTCCTGCCATCGCTGGATATGCCTACCCCTCTGCAGAGTCCCCCATGTGCCTGCACAAGCTCACAGGGGATTTCTTTCACTTCTTCAAAGCTCACCGGAACTTTGGCTACTTTTATGGCTCGAGCTACGTGGCGGCCCCTGACAGCAGTCGCACTCCTGGGCTCTCCCGCAACAGGGACGGGCTGCTGGTGGCTGAGCTCGACCTGAACCTCTGCCGGCAGGTGAATGACATCTGGAACTTCAAGGTGGGTCCCCAGGTCCCCTGCTGTTGCCCTGTTTTTCCCTTTGGACCCCCATTCTGCTCGCAGAGCTGGAAACCACAGCCACTGGGTTTGCTCTCAGGAGCAGCCAGATGTGGCTCCAAGCTGAGCAGAGGGCCAGGTCTCTTCCTCCCAGGGCTGGTGTGCGAGGGAGGAGCCACTGGGTCAAATGATGCCAAGGCGGAAGACCTTAATAAATTCTCCTCTTGTCTGATTTAGATTCTGGGCGCCTTCAAACAAATTAATCTCAATTTCATTTGTCCAGAGAATAGAGTGGATTGGCTTCTCTAATCCTTTTTTTCCTTTCCAGGCATTTGCACTTATCACAAGATAAATGTGGGTGTCTGGCTCTGCCTGTGGCCTGGCCCCATGGTCTAGGCCTTGACAGGAGAGGGAAATGGGTCATGCAGAGAAATGGAATCTAGGCCCAGATCTGCTACTGCCTTTCTCAGTCACCCTAAGCAAGACCTTTCTGCTCTGGGGCCCTAGTATGCCCATTGTAAAACAGGAAGCTGTACTGGAAGGCCTCAAGTGGCCTTTGAAACCTAATACATGTGACACCAGGGGCCATGGGAAGAATGTAAGTGCCTGCCCTCCTGGAATGGGGTGGTGGCAGCCGTGGCCTAGAAGCCCCTGAAATATACCCTCTCATCCTGGATGCAGGTGGAGTTTGTTACATTAGTGTCCAGCAGTATTTATACCGACTCAGAACCCATTTATATGTGCAAATGAATGTCCTTATGACTGCGTGACTTTGCCCAGGGTGTCTGGGAGAAACTATTTTCCCTGTTACATGTTTCCTTTCCCTGAGCATGTTTCCTGAGTCTCAGATCCTCATCGGACAAATAAGGCATTGCCCACATGAGTGTCTTCCTCTGAAGCTCAGACTCATGCAGGATTCCACACAATAAACAATGCTTTCTCATTGGTAACTTTCTGAATGCAAAAAGCCACCCCCACCCCACCCCCCAGACAAACTATGGTGATGGGCATGAGGTCGTGTTGGGTTTTGGGAAGGAGAGAGAGAAATGTCTGGGTGTGAGCACCCGGGTAGGTTTTCCAGCCCTGCCCCCACTCTCTCCCAGACCCGGAGCCAGAAGACCAGGGTGCAAATCTCAGCAAACTCCATTGCTGCCTGGGAACCTGGAGCAGGTCACTTCCCTCTCTGGGTTGTACACTGTTCTGGGGTTCTGCAAGACATCAGGATAGCCCTCCTCCCTTCTGCCTTGGGGCAGGCCTCGTCTTTGGGATGACAGGTCACAGAGGTCTTCTAAAAAGAGGAATCAGCGTGTGTGAGTCATCTCGGCATCTGTCATCTTTGCTATCCACTGGTATCAGTGCTGAGCCATCATCACACGGGAGTTATTTCTCCAGATGCTAGTCTGAAACTGCCCTGTCCACTAGCCTTCCCGGCAAATTTCTGGCCCATGGCTGCCCTCTAGTGGCAAGAGGTGGTGGTGAGTAAATGAGGGGCGTGTATAAAACCTAATCTGCCTGTTTTGCTTTCAGATGACCGGCAGATACGAGATGTACGCTCAGGAGCTTGCAGAAGCCATCAAACCCAACTACAGCCCCAATATCGTGAAAGAGTAGCTGGATTTTAGCTCCTGCCTGCCAAGGAGGGCACCTCTGCCCCTAGCAGATCTGCAAGTACAGCAGGCTTTACATGTGCAAGTTCTCCCCGGTGATATCCTGGTAACATTTCTGTCCACATAGGTTTAAAAACACCTAGACAGGGGGGGATGCCCTCAGCAGTTGAGCCTCTGCCTTGGGCTCAGGGCGTGATCCTGGAGCCCCAGGATCAAGTCCCACATCGGGCTCCCTGCATGGAGCATGCTTCTCCCTCTGCCTATGTCTCTACCTCTCTCCATCTGTGTCTCTCATGAATAAATAAATAAAATCTTTTTTAAAAAAAGAAAGAAAGGAAGAAAAATGCCTAGATAGGGAGGGTATATTGAAGAATAACTGTCCAGTGGATATGAGTTTCCTTCCTGGATGATGAAATCTTTTGGGCTTACACAGAAGTGTTGCTTACACAACATTGTGAACGTGCTAATGTAGAATGCCACTCAATTGTATACTTTAAAATGGCTAAATTTATGTCATGTGAATTTTACCTCCATTAAAAAAAAAAATCCGGGATGCCTGGGTGGCTCAGTGGTTTAGCGCCTACCTTCAGCACAGGGCGTGATCCTGGGGTCCTGGGATTGAGTCCCACATCAGGCTCCCAGCATGGAGACTGCTTCTCCCTCAGCCTGTTGTCTGCCTTTCTCTATGTGTGTGTGTCTCTCACGAATGAATAAGTAAAATCTTAAAAAAAAGAAAAAAATCCCAGGCACTTAATGTGCTGGCTGATTTGTAATTAGACACATAGGATACCCCAGTCCTGAGATTCCTCTCTTCCTGTTTAGACTGTCAGCAACCTGAGGGTAAAGGTGGGAGTGAGTAGGGGAAGCTGAGGCTGATCCAGAGTCGAGCTACCGAGTGGCTGTGGGCAGGCGAGATGGCCATTAGATGTGTCAACATGTCTAGGCTGCAGTGTCCAGGTATCAGTCAGATGCTAATCTGGATGTTGCTATGAAGGTATTTTGTAGATGTGATTAAAGTCCATAACCAGCTAACTGAGCAAGTGAGATTATCCTAGATAATCCAGGTAGGCCTGATTCAATCAGTCAGAAGGCCCTCAGGAGGAGAGCTGAGGCTTCACCAACAAAGACAAAATTCTGCCTGTGGACAGCAGCTTCCCTGCGCCCCAACCCCCCACCCCCTGCCGCACGCCGCCCCATGCCTTAGAGCTCTAGTTGGTCCTTCCTACAGATTTCAGATCTCACGACCCTGAGATCACCACCTTACAGATTTCAGACTTGTCCATCCAGCCCCCGCAATCACTTAAATCAGTGCCTTGCAATAAATTTCTTAATATATATCCTACTGTTTCTGCTTTTGGTTAGACCTTCATGATACAGATTCTCATCCCGGAAGTGGCTCTAGAGGAACAGAATCTTCAGGATGAGTTTCCTGCATTGGTGCTAGGTTTTCTGGAATTCTTCTTTAATTTGGTTGAATTAAAGGCACTCACGGCTCTATCTGCAGTGTTAAAGAGGAGGGCATGGTAGCCAATGGTGTGATGTAGCAATAGAGATTTATAGAGCAAGCAGACCATCAGCCTGTGCCTGCAAGTCCCAGCCTGCCGTCCCTGGTGGCCTGTCCCTTCTGTGGTTTTTAGGCTTGGATAAACAGCCTCCATCATCATGTAAGGCAATTCCTTGCACTGAATCTCTCTATATTTATATATATACATATACATCTATATGCATGCATATGTATGTGTGTATATATATATATACACATATATATATACACACACATGTATGTATCTTCTGCATATATAAATATATCTGTATCCCCTTTTGATTCTGCTTCTTTGATTGAGCACTGACAGCCTGACTGACAGGGCGGGTTGCCCACCTCTCTGCCCCTTGGCTTCCACATCTGTAAAGTGGGACCATATCCCTTCTTCTGCCTTATGTCACAGGACAGTGGTGAGAGACAGACTAGATGAACCAGGGGACTTCTGTGGGCTGTGTTCCTTGCACCACACAGCAGAAATCCCACCTGTGCTGGGAGTGCCTGGGTGACTCAATTGGTTGAGTCACCGACTCTTGGTTTCAGCTCAAGTCATGATCTTAGGGTGGTGATCTCAAGGTTGTGAGATCAAGCCCCGTGTCGGGTTTCATGCTCAGTGGGGAGCCTGTTGAGACTCTCTCTCTCTCCCTCTGCCCTTCCGCTGCTTGCTCTCCCTATCTCTCAAATCAATAGATTTTTTTTTTTTAAGAGCCCCAACTCTGAAGTCTCAAACCTCCACAGTCAGCCACCGTGTTGGAGGTGGGAGTGGGATCCTCAGGTTCTACCCTTCTTGTGTCCAGTTAGAGAAGGCAGCTCATTCCTTCCCTGACCCAGCAGCTGAAATGCATGACCCAACCCCATGTCAGGGCTGGGGTGCTCCCAGACAGCTACGTGGGGTGAAAAAACTGGTTGCAACTTCCTAGCTCCGCTTTAACCCCCTTAACCTCTCTGAGCTGCAGGCTTTTCACTTCATGTAAAAACCCCTTTTGTATTACTTTTTTCATAGAATCCAGCCCTGCAGATACAGTGAGTTTTTCTGTCTGGCCTCCAGTGTCCACAGCCTTTGTGTTTGTGGTTTCTAAAAGGAGCATGTAGTCAATCTAATACAGCAGCCAGCTTAGATAACAAGATAGTGCATTTATGAAATAGGTACTAATACACCAGAAAGGATTTGATCATCCACGTCTCTCACTCACTGCCTAGAATCAAAGTGTTCAGTTCTGCCTTAGAGTAGATGGGCCCTATACACAGGGAGTCATTTGAGGGTTTAACTCATGCCTGGAATGTTTAGATGCTCAGCAAACATTTGTTGACTGAACCTAGGGTGGAAGTTTTTGTTTCTGTGTGATTGTTGCTGATGCCACAGAAGATAAGTTGTAATGGTTCAGTGTATGGGGCCTATGGCCCATGGGTGGAGTCTTCTGACTCTCTGAGCCTGTTTTCTCACCTCTAAAATGAGAGGTGACTGGGTTTGAGGTTTTCAGTTCTCTCCAGCTCTGCAGAGAGCATTTCTGCCAGCCCACGGCTTTATTGCTAGAATCTGGGGTATCAGGGGAGAGTGGTGCCAAGCCACAGTGTGCCCGGCAAGAAAAAAGGCAAAGACATTCCAGGATAGGCCACATGTAAGGCCACAAAACAAGTCATGATAAATATTTAAAGATTGAAATCATAGGAAATCTCTTTTTTACTCACACTGGAATGAAACTAGAAATAAATAGCAAAAGGAAAATTCAAAAATGTTTGAAAATTAGACCACATGTTCTTGAACAACCAACCAGTAGATCAAAAAAAAAAAAAATCACAAGGGGCAGTCCGGGTGGCTCAGCAGTTTAGCGCTGCCTTCAGCCCATGGCCTTATCCTGGAGACCTGGGATCGAGTCCCATGTCAGGCTCCCTGCATGGAGCCTGCTTCTCCCTCTGCCTGTGTCTCTGCCCCTCTCTCTCTCTGTGTGTCTCTCATGAATAAATAAATTAAAATCTTAAAAAAAAAATCACAAGGAAATTAGAAAATGTTTTGGAACAAATGAAAACAAAAACAAAACATACCCAAACTTATAGGATGCAAGGAAAGCAATGTGAAATGGAAATGTATAACTATAAACACTTACTAGAAGAGAAGAAGGCTGGCACCTGGCTGGCTCAGTCTGTACAGCATGTGACTCTTGATTTCAGGGTCATGAATTCAAGCTCCACATTAGGCTTGGAGTTAACTTTTAAAAAAATTAAAATTAAATACATGAAAATAAAAATAAAGAAGGTTTCGAATCAACAACTGATTTTTACATTTTTAAAAACGTTTTATTTATTTATTTGGCAGAGAGAGAGAGAGAGAGCACAAGCAGGGGGAGGGGCAGATGACAAGGGAGAAGCAGGCTCCCCGCTGAGCAGGGAGCCCAATGTAGGGCTCCATCCCAGTGTCCTGGGATCATGACCTGAGCCCAAGACAGACACTTAACAGACTGAGCCACACAGGAGCCCCCCAAATTTTACATCTCAAGGAACTGAAAAAAAGAAGAGCAAACTAAACCCAAGGTAACAGTAGAGATGAAATAATGAAGATTAGAGCACAGAGAAATAAAATAGAAAATAGAGAAGGAATAGAGAACAATGAAACCAAAAGTTGGTTCTTCAAAAAAGATCAACAAAAATTGACAAACCTTTAGCATGATTGAGAAAAAGAGAAGATTCAGGGCAGCCCGGGTGGCTCAGCAGTTTAGCGCCGCCTTCAGCCCAGGGCCTGATCTTGGAGATCCTGGATCAAGTCCCACCTTAGGCAACCTGCATGGAGCCTGCTTCTCCCTCTGCCTGTGTCTCTGCCTCTCTCTCTCTGTGTGTCTCTCATGAATAAATAAATAAAATCTTTAAAAAAAAAAAGAAAAAAGAAAAAGAAGATTCAGATTATTAAAATCAGAAATGAAAGTGGAGACATCACTACAATTTGATAGAAATAAAAAGGATTATTAAGAGTATTATGAACAAATTGTTAGAGGAGCTCACCAAGAGCATGGGATTGCCGATTGATCCATGAACTGGACCCAGGAAATCAGAGGCTCCTTCCCTCCTCTGTCCTTGGAATGTATGTTCTGCTCACTGTTGCCACACTAGGAGCTACTTCAAGGACACAGCTTGAGAGAGTAATTTATTATTTTTTAAAGATTTTATTTATTTGAGCAAGAGAGAGAGAGAGCATGAACAGAGGAGACAGGGAGAGGGAGAAACAGACTCGTCACTGAGCAGGGAGCCCAATGCGGGACTGGGATCATGACCTGAGCTGAAGGCAGATACTTAACTGACTGAGCCACCTAGGTGCCCCAAGAAAGTGATGTATTATTAAGACCATCTGGGCAGTGAATGAACGCCGTTAAGATTTCTGGTGAACTCTTAAGATTCTGGTGGGTACATGCAGAGATCTACTTGTCTTGTGGCCACTCAAGATGAGAGCCTCAAGCCTTGTATGTAAGTGACCGTGCTCATTAAAACTGCCACCTACCAATCGGAGAGATCTGCGTCTTTCTTTGGTCTCTCCTTGCCCTCCACATATGGGGGCCAGTTTCAGATATCACCTGAGGATCTCCCACATTTGCAAACCAACATAGTTGTCTGCCAACACATTGGATTACCTAGATGAAATGGACAAATTCCTAGAAACATGAAACTACCAACCCTGAATCATGAAGAAATAGGAAATCTGAATAGACCTATATCTAGTAAGGAGATTTAATGAGTAATCAAAACCTTCCCTAGCAAAGGAAAGCACTGGACTTGGTGACTTCACTGGTAAATTCTACCACACATTTAGAAAAACCAGCACCAGGGCACCCAACTGACTCAGTCAGAAGAGCATGCAACTTTGGATCTCAGGGTCATGAGTTCCAGCCCCACATTGGGTGGGTGTAGAGATCACTAACTAATTAAATAAACTAACTAAATAAGCTTTATTTATTTATTTTTAAAGGTTTTATTTATTCATGAGAGACACAGAGAGAGAGGCAGAGACACAGGAAGAGGGAGAAGCAGGCTCCACACAGGGAGCCCAATGTGGGACTTGATACTGGGACTCCAGGATCATGCCCTGAGCCCAAGGCAGACACTCAACCGCTGAGTCACTCAGGTGCCCCAATAAGTAAGCTTTAAAAAAATAGAAAGAAAGAGGGATCCCTGGGTGACACAGCGGTTTGGCGCCTGCCTTTGGCCCAGGGCGCGATCCTGGAGACCCGGGATCGAATCCCACGTCGGGCTCCCAGTGCATGGAGCCTGCTTTGCCCTCTGCCTGTGTCTCTGCCTCTATCTCTCTCTCACTATGTGCCTATCATAAATAAAAAAAATTAAAAAAAAATTAAAATAAAAAAAAATAGAAAGAAAGAACTAAGCCAATCCTTCTCAAATGCTTCCAAAAAATTGAAGAGGAGGAAATGCTTATTAACTCATTGAGTCCAACATTACATTAACATCAAAGCCAGGCAAAGACATTGCAAAAAAAATACCAAGACCACAGAGCAATATCCTTTATGAATATTGATGCAAAAATCCTCAACAAAGCATGGTTGACCCTTGAATAATGCAAGAGTTAGGGATGAGCACCAACTCCCTACACAGTCAAAAATCCATGGATAACTGTTAACTCCCCAAACCTTCATTACTAACAGCCTACTGTTATCAGAAACTTTACCAATAACATAAACAGTTGACTAATACATCTTCCATATGTTATATGTATTACATACTGTATTTTTATAATAAAGTAAGCTAGAGAAAAGAAAATATTAAGAAAATTATCAGAAAAAAAAGGAAAATACAGTACAGTACTATATATAGATATATATAAAAAAAAATCCCCCTGGACCTGTGTGGTCCAAACCTGTGTTGTTCAAGGATCAACTGTACTAGTAAACTGAATCCATCAGCATATTAAAAGGATTTATGGCCAAGTTAGTCTTATTTCTATTGTTTCTTTCAGAATAAGTTCTAAGAAATAGAATTCACTGTGTTAAAGAAACATGAACATCTTGTCAAGATCTGGGAAGAGTCGGGGATCCCTGGGTGGCTCAGCGGTTTCGCGCCTGTCTTTGGCCCAGGGCGCGATCCTGGAGTCCCGAGATCGAGTCCCGCGTCAGGCTCCCGGCATGGAGCCTGCTTCTCCCTCTGCCTGCGTCTCTGCCTCTCTCTCTCTCTCTCTGTCTATCATAAATAAATAAATAAATAAAAATAAATCTTTAAAAAAAAAAAAAAGAACTGGGAAGAGTCTGAGCTCTTACCCTGTCTGGAAGCTGACAACTTAGCCGACATCAGTTCCATGGATGCTAGCAGAAGACACAGAACTCCTCAGAGACAAAGGAGTTTAGGACAGTAGTAGGAGCAGCTAGAGTGCCAGCACTGCCTTGGCAGCAAGACACCTGGACCCCAATTCCCCCAGGACAAGACAAAAGAGGGTCAAACTACTCCTGCATGCATAGTGGGTTGCATTAAGAAGAGAAAGGAAAAGAGGGAGAGAGCTTAGAGGATTGGAATCTCTTACATTGGAAAGTAAAGCATGCCTGCCCCTTGCTCAAAAGGCAGACACTATCTCTGTCTACCGAGCTTGCAAGAAGACCTGCACTTTGCTCCAGAGGGAGACTTAGCTCTAACTTCTAAGGCTATTGGCTCTGCAAGGATCCTTGAAAAGACAGTCCAGGACACAGTCACACATGGTTTTAGCTCACAAGTCATGCAGCAATCTGAGAAAAGTGAGAGACCCATAGCAATAACTTCCAACCAGTATCCATTTCTAATTTCTGCATCATCTTGACTTCTGGCAGTTTCCCCATGATAATACTACTCTATCAGTCACTCTGATTAATTTGACTGACAGAGGCTGGCCCAAATCAACTCCATTTGTCTTTTTTTTTTAAGATTTTATTTTTTCATAAGAGACACAGAGATAAAGAGAGGCAGAGACACAGGCAGAGGGAGAAGCAGGCTCCACGCAGGAAGCCCGATATGGGACTCGATCCCAGGTCTCCAGGATCACACCCTGGGCTGAAGGCAGGCACCAAACCGCTGAGCCACCCGGGCTGCCCCCAACTCCATTTGTCTTGTAGGATTTCATTAATTTTATCCACAGAACTTCAAGGAGCAGAATGAGCCCAACCTGCAAACTCCCCTCAGTCTTACCTGCCAGGGTCCTCAACACAACAGGAGGGACAAATTCCACAAACTATCAAGGTCTACCTTAGAAAGTCAAGTGGTTGTCTCAAATATTGACCTTTCCACTTAGCCTAAGTTACTTACTAATCCAGGAATGGCTCTAGGTATTAAGTACTCCCCAGTCTCCACCTTGGTTCCCAGGGAGGAAGTCTAGGCCAGCCAGTTATCTATACCAACCTACTCAGTGGCCTAACACTGACCTGAAATGCCCCCCAGGGCCAAGGTGGTAACATTGATGACATCACCTAAAATTGGGGCAAATGTTGTATCACCTTTTCTAATCAGATGACTACCATCAGGGCAGCCTGGGTGGCTCAGCGGTTTAGTGCCTGCCTTCAGCCCAGGGTGTGATCCTGGAGACCTGGGATCGAGTCCCACATCAGGTTCCCTGCATGGAGCCTGCTTCTCCCTCTGCCTGTGTCTCTGCTTCTCTCTCTCTCTCTGGTCTCTCATGAATAAATAAATAAAATCTTAAAAAAAAAAAAAGTGACTACCATCATGAGGATATCTACCCACAGAGTGCACATAAATAATGAGTCAGTTACTGATCCAGGAACCTCCCTTGAATAACTAAGGCTAGCTCCATTTTAGGGAGATCTCCACAGTTGTCTGTGGGCGGCCTTATCTATTGATGGTATTTGCTTAAACAATTGAATGGACCAAAGACCTAAAGGTATTTCTCATTCTCATCAGCTATCTTCATCAGCATTGCTCTGGCTTTCTTTTCTTTTCTTTTCTTTTCTTTTCTTTTCTTTTCTTTTCTTTTCTTTTCTTTTCTTTTCTCTTCTCTTCTTTCTCTTCTTTTCTTTCTTCTTCCTTCCTTCCTTCCTTCCTTCCTTCCTTCCTTTCTTTCTTTCTTTTTTTTTTAAGATTTTATTTATTTATTCATGAGCGACGCAGAGAGGCAGAGACATAGGCAGAGGGAGAAGCAGGCTCCCTGTGAAGAACTTGATGCGGCACTCGATCCCAGGACCCCAGAATCACTCCCTGTGCTGAAGGAAGATGCTCAACCACTGAGTCACCTAGGTACCTCTCATTCACATTATCAAGCACCTATGAGGTGTCAAGGCTGGGTGCTACAGTAGTGGAGACAGGTAGACAGGATGATGTGGTTGGAGGTGCAGGAAAAAGTACTCCTTTAGAAGTGGTGACACTGAGCAGAGCCTTGAGTAAAGAAAGGACTTTGGCAGATGGGAGGTACAGAGAGGATGCCAACTTGGCCACCTCATGGGTCTGTTGTGATCTGTGGATGTCAAACTCTTGTAAATCAAGGGGCTCCAAACAGCTTGAGGAGACTGGATCACCAGATCTCCCAGGGGCTGGGTGGAAGCCCAGCGACTGGGGGCAGATCCTTAGGAAGCAGTATTCAGGATACATGTTGGGGCAGGCAGCCAGAGAGAGATACAGAAGAGGGAGACGGGCGGGAGAGGGGGGAGAGGATGGAGAGGTCACTGGAGAGGCCACTGTGCTGGGCCCGTGGGAGTCTTAGCTTCCATTTCCTGGCGCTGAGTTTTTCCCATGAACACTTACGTCCATGTTGGTCCCATCACTTGGCCCCTGGGACCAACAGCACAGCAGGATGATGTCTCCGTATTTTCTTGGTTTTCTTATTCTGTTCTGACACTGGAGGGTCGGGGCAAGTCTGTGATGTGCATCCCTGGATACTGTAGCTGGAGGCAAGTCAGCAAGAACAGGATCTGTGCCCTTCCAGAGTATTGGGACCACACACCAGGCTTTCTACCCAGAGGCAAAATTCTGGGGGGGCTATGGCAGCCCATCTCTAGCTCCAGAACTCAGAGTTCACTTCCTGGCTCTTCTGGCATCAGCTCACCCCTACAGGGTCACCAGAGTTACTTCTGACTATGATCTGGGCTGAGGGTTGGGAAAACAGAAATGGTGGGTTTGAGTTTAGCTCTGTTAATAGCTCATTGAGTGATGACCCTGGGCCAGTTGCTCCCCTCTCTGGGCTGCACTCCTCCATCCTTTGACTAAGCCAGTGGTTACCCAAGTGTCAGCGTATTTCACAGAATAACAGTGTTACACAAGAACTGTAGTTAAGTAATTTGGGGAAAGCCTAAATGAAGGGAGTCCCCTTGCTACAGGATTATACAGAGCCTTTCAGCACATCCTAAATCCCCTAGGGGACTGTAGCCTGCAGTGTTTGCCAAGCTGACCTGACCAGGGCACCCCATTACACACAGCTTCTCACCATTGGTATTCTGAAGGCCACACCTCAGGATGTGCTAGACGAGGTATCTCCAGGGGTGTTCCTAACTGTTCTGAGATTTAAAAACATAACCAGGGGATCCCTGGGTGGCGCAGCGGTTTGGCGCCTGCCTTTGGCCCAGGGCGTGATCCTGGAGACCCGGGATCGAATCCCACATCGGGCTCCCGGTGCATGGAGCCTGCTTCTCCCTCTGCCTGTGTCTCTGCCTCTCTCTCTCTCTCTCTCTCTCTCTGTGACTATCGTAAATAAATAAATTTAAAAAAAAATAAAAAATAAAAACATAACCACCAGACATCCAGTGATCCTTGCCTCCTGGTGTATGCTTGCCCTATGCAATCCCTAGTGTATGCTGGACTTACTGATGCACTTCTGTTTAATAGAGTATTGCGGAAATCATAGGATGTCACTTCTGAGATTAGGTTATTAAAAGGCTGTGGCTTCCATACTGGGTGCTTGTTCTGTCTCTCTCTCGCCCCTCCTTCCTCCTTGCCCCCCTCTTTCTCCCTCCCTTTATGTCATTACTACCTGTTCTATCATGAGGACACACCCAGGCAGCCTGTGGCTGGCAGCCCTATCAAGTGAACTTGGGAGCAGATGTTTCAGTATGTCACACCTTGAGGTGACTGTAGCCCTGCCAACAGCTTGAGACACCCCAGGCCAAAGGCATCAGTTTGGCTGCACCCAGCTCTTTGTTCCGGCCTGGCCCCTTGGCTCCTGTGGGGCCCCTCCCAGGAATCCTCAGCCTGTCCCCCCCGCTATCCTCACCCTGCATGCTCTGGGCAGCCAACTCTATCCACCCAGTACTCATTACGTCACCCACATTTGTCCCTCCTTTTTTTTTATTTTTATTTTTTTTACATTTGTCCCTCCTATTCTAACACCTCCTTCATCATTTTTTCTCCCGTGATTATATTCAATGGCCACTTGGATGCCCCAAACCAATCTTTCCCATGCCTGTCCCAACCACGATATGCCCATTCAGAATGGGGGGCCCCTTCCCCTAGGAGTTCAGAGAGGGCCCTGGGCCTCTAGCAGGGTGCCCCATCCTCAGCTGGCCAACGCCCTGATTAAAGGAATGTCTACAGGGCTGCTTTCCAGATTGGAGAAAGGTCCAAAGACCTCAGTCACAACTCCTTAATAAACCCCCACAGTGTGGGGCTTGGGGAGGGGCAGAGCAGCAGTCAGGATGAGAGCACAGGCCAGAGACTGGGACTCCGCCCAAGACGCCAGCCAGCTCTGGCTCTGTCAGCAACCTGTGCGACCTGGGGCAGGTCTGAGGCTGCCAGATAATGCAGGATTTCCAGACACATCCTTTTTCAGAAATAGAATTCTTATCAAATGTAACACTAGAAGAGCCCAAATAGCTAGCAAATAAGGGGAGCTGCTGGTTGGGGGTGGCAGATACAGGGAGGGCTGGAGTCCCACCGGCAGGGCTCCCCCGCTCTATTGCCTCCTGTGGTCCCCACTGTCCCCTTCATTCAACTCCACCTCCCCTCCAGACCCTCCTCCTGCTCTAAACTGTGTGCCCCTCCATGTCCTCTTCAAGAACTGCCATCAAGCTCAGCTCTGAGGCCCTTCCATCTCCAGCACTGCCTGCCTAAGCCCCCACAAGATCAGGAGGGAGGCAGAACTGAAAAAGCAATGAACAGGATTCTAGTCCCAGCTGAAACCTGGTATGGCAGGTCAAGGACCTGGGTTTGCATGCGCTCACGCTGAGAATTTGGGACAGAAACAAGAATTCACAAAGGCGGGCCCAGGATTGCCATGATTCTGCAGTGAGAATAATGTTTATTGAGAATGGCTCATTACAAACAAAAAATATATATGTAGAAAATCTCTGCAATGCAAAAGATCCCTTTTGTCCCTGTGTGGCTGGAGTGAACAAAACCAACTGTCCAGTGTGGCTTTGCTGGGCTCCCCCCATGCGGGCAGGGGTCATGGGTGCCATGTGCCATGGGCAGAAGTTCCTGAAGCCTGGGTTTTCTCCATCCTTGTTTTCATGACATGTGCAAGAACAGGTTTGCATTTGCATCCCATTCCCATGACCCTCCGAGGCAGACGGCACTATCGCAGGCACAGGTAGCTTTCTTGTTAATCTTCTAGAGGGTGACCTCTAACTTGTGGCTGGCCCTGGGGACTCAGATGCTGTGACCACCCTCTGTGGAGGCTGCTCTCCATGACAGCCCCACCAGTCATCCAAAGCGTCACTTCTTCATTGCTTTCCTTGATGCGTCTATTCCAACCACAATTTTAGCCAGACCCTTCCTGAGGATGTCCAAATCCCACAGCCGCCACACGTGGTATTCCTGGGTGTGAAACTGGAGCTCCCTGGGATCTTGGGCCACCCAACATTAAGGCAAAAGAGATAAGACCAGTCTGAAGACACTGCTAATCTCCGACACCAAGGTGGCTAACCTGTTAGCTAACCAGCTAACAGTGCCTCCCTCTGGGCCAAAGGCCGCATCTGGTGTTGAAGAGCAATAGGCTGGGTGGTCTGACGGCCCTTTTCAACAGAGCTGGTCTCTGGCCCTCAGAGCAGCCACGGTGGGGAGGTGCCAGCTGGCTGCTGGGAGAAGATGCTGAGCCTGTTTGCAGTCCAGAGGGGTAGCAGCTGCCATTGCATCGTGCCTTGGCCAACAAGAGACCAAGACGCAGGGGGACGGGGCAGTGTGGCTGATGGGGCAGCCCTGCTCCTCTGCCAGACAGCTCATGAGGGGTGGGTGTCCTCGGCTCCTTTGGGAATGATCTAGTTCCCTTTGTTTTTTGGAGCAGATCTGGATTCAAAACCCAACCCCACCACTGTCCTGGACAAACTCTCCCCAGACTGATGGCCAGATTTTGTCTGTAAGGTAGGGTGAGGGGCCCTGGGACTCAGCTTCCCCAGCTGTGAGTCCCTTTCTCTTTGAAAGGGAACTTGGGCTGGCTTCTCTGCTCTGTGAAGAGAGATGTCAGTGGTTCTGAAGTACCTGCAATCTCACTATTATTGTCTTACTTGAGGGTAACTCTCACTCCCCACAAGTGGAAAAACTTAATTCTCAAAGAAACCAAACAAGCCCCCGCCCCCCAAGAAAAGAAAAAAAATTTAAAGAGTAGGAAACAGCTCTAGTCCATGCTATGTGCAGTGCTGTGTGATCCTGGGCAGAAACTATCCTTCTCTGTCAAGACAGAAAAGCCTCAACATTCTGTGCAAAAGGTCCTGGCATGAATATTAGGGTAGGTGGGAGGCCAATGGCTGTCTCCCATCATGGCCTCAGGACAGCAGGCCCTAGCACCCCAGCACTCAGCCCTGTGAGGCCTGGGGCTCCCCACACCCGGATAATGGGCCCCACTATCGGGGCTTATGCTAGTGTCAGGAGGCCTCATGGGTTAGGGGGGGATCTTTGGGACACAGGTGGCTGTGCCTGGCCTTCTGGGTCAGGCATTCTTGTACACTCAGCACTGCCAGCTAGCAAGAGTTAGGGCCCTGTCTACTCCCCTGAGGGCCCTCTACTCTACAGTGCTATGGTACCTAGAGGGTGAGGGGTACGGGGCCCAGGGTCCTTCTGGCCTTAGGCCCAGCCATCTCCAGGGCCCAGAGGCCTCACAACCAGCCACAGGAACTTGGGTGGGTTCCCATCTTATGGCGGGAGGGAGTGGTGGCATCCACCAAAGGGCCCAGGGAGGTCTGTAGCACTTCTGGGGGTAGGCAGTTCCTAGCAAGGCCTGGAGCAGCCCACAGTCTTGGGGGCCAGAGTTGGCTACATGGTCTCCAAACACGTGGATACCATCCTGACAAGTGGAATCTCCAGGGCTCAGCCCTCAGATCTGTGGGGAGACAAGCTCAAGCTTCTCCTGTGCCCTGGATCTGGTATGTAGGCAACAAGGGCACCCACAGGGCTGGAAGTCCCCTAGGCACAGTTCAAGTCAGATTTGGGGTCCTAGGGGAAGCTCTACTCAGATGCTCTGGGGACACCTCCACCAACCAGCAGGTGCATAGGGTAAGTGGCAAGATGACACACGTGATGCTGGCAGACAAAGCAGGCATGCCTCCAGCATCAAGAATTCCCTGGGGCTTTGTCACACAGGCCAAGGCTGCAGTTCTGCATCCAAGCCCCAGCAACTCGGGGCCTGGGCCAAGGCCTCCTGAGTTGGCCAGGCTAGGGTGGGGCAGGGTGGGGGGCGAGGGCCTGGGCACACCAGGCTCCCGCTGTCAGCTGTCCAGGTAGACAAAGAGGATGTCCTCATCTGTGCCGTAACTGGTTCTGGCTTCCTCGAAGTTACTGATGCTGGTGCTGCACATTCCTGCTGGGGGCAAGAAGGGAGAGTGAGGTAGTGGTGGTGGGGGGAGTAGTGTACCTGCCTCGCTGGCACCCAGGGGGGAGCTAGGGGAGGTCTGACCTCCTGCCACCTGCCTGGCCACCCTCTGCCACTCATTTTTCACCCACAGGAAGCCTTCCTTGCCAATTTCAGCCTTCATGAGCTCATTCTCTGACCCTTCCCTAGTTTAGCAGATGGAGAAGGTGAGACCCAGAGGGAAAGAAATATGCTTGAGGACACATGTGGTAAGTCTGCTAGAGTCAGGACAGTCCTTTCCAGTCCCCAGGGCAGTGGGGAGCCCTCGCTGCACCTGGAGCAGAGCTGGAACTGGGAAGACTTTTCTTTCTGACGGGTATGCTTCCTGGCTGTCCTGGCAGGGCTAGAGTGAGGGGACCGGGGGAGGCACCCGCAGAATAAGAGTGAGATGGGGCCCACGCAGTGGTGTAGGGCTGGTGGTATGGGAGGGACAGGTGGCCTGACCTGGTGTGTGGAGGCTGGGATGGCCTCAGGTTTACGGCTGATCTGGGCAGGGCAGAGGGGCAGCACAGAAGACAGGAGCCCAGGAGGAGCAGAGGCTTTGGGGAGAAGGCAGGGAGGAAAGTCTTGGCCACCAGGATGAATGAGAAGGAATCTGGGATGGTGAATGCGGCCTGCCCCACCTACCGTCCCCTGCCCGCCTGGCACTCACGGTCGGCGTAGGCTGGATTGTTGTAGAAGATGCAGCCTGTGGCCCGGTTGTAGCCGCGCAGCACGATGAAGTGGCCCTGGTAGTCAGGGGTGCGGCAGAAGCAGCGGTGGCCACTGGGGGCGAAGCAGCAGTACTTGACAGGACTGGAGCAAAGGTCGCAGTGCAGTACCCCAGAGTTCACCAGCACGATGGCCACGTGGCCCTGTGCCAGGTGCTCCTGGATGTCCTGCACGCTCACTGTGCTGTGGGTGGGAGGAGGGTCAGCTGGTGCCGCTGGGCCCCATCCCCCATCTCTCAAGTGGACCCCTACTCGGATCACAAAGCTTGGGGACCTGGCTCATCTTTCCTCCCTCCTGAGCTCCTTGCAGGTGGGAACATCCTGCTTTGTCACCGTGGCCCAGGCTCAGAGTAGGATTAAGCATGGGACCAGTGCCGGGGTGAGAGTGGGAGGGCTCTGAGGGTGCTCAAGGACAAGCCACTCCCATCAGGTCCTTCCAGGGGTGGTAGGAAGTCGGCTCCAGATGGGCCCCTGTCATGGGCTGCTGGAGCAGCACACGGGACCCCACCTCCTGGCCTGGACAGTGAATTTTGTTTTTTTGCTGAGCATCCTTCTTAGTCATTTACCCTAAATCACATGCGGTTTACCTTGGAAGCTGTGGGTCCAATGTATTCCCCCAAACTTGAGCTAAGCATGGCTTTGTTAGTTTCAAAACCACATGCATCCCTGAAAAAGACTAGTTTTCTTTTTTCTTTTTCTCTAAGGCTCCTAAAGCAGAAGGGGTTGTCCAGGAAGGGCCTGGCCAGCAGACCTCCCAGGGGATCCCCAGTTCAGCAGAGCCAGCTGCTCCCTGAGGCAGACTCTTAGAGGCACTGCCCCGTTCAATGCCCCCAGAAGGCAGCAAATCCAAATCAAGAATCCAGAATGGGTGAGGGGCTGTGGGGTAGTAGTCCCTGTAGCTAGGGGCCTCCCCCTGCCGCAGCCTCCTCAGGAGTGGCAGCATTAGCACTACGTGGCCTGGCCCAAGGCCAGCCCACGGCCAAGCCATGTGGCAGGTTGGTTTGGTTGCTTCAGCCTAGGGAAACATGCCATCTTTCCATTTGGTCTGTGAAATGAAATAGCAGGCTGGGTTCCTGATGGTATGTATGAGTGCGGGATTTCCACTGCAGAGACAAAGCTGGGGCTGGGCTAGAAAGAAAAGCACCATGCTTCATGGGGTAAATGGGTGCAGAGTGCCAGGTCTGGCTCACAGCCCGGACGAGTGGCCAGTGGGGACCGTGGGCAGCTTGTGCTATTTTTCTCATCCTCAGTTTATTCACATGAGGAATAGGGGACGGCACCAGCTTCCCCCTCAACAAGACAGCATGTGGCACAAGCCATTAAATGAACATTTATTGCCTTTCCTCCTAGCACATGCTCGTGTGGTGGACAGGTATGTGGAGACTCTTCCCGGTTTTTTTCCTAACCACTTATTGTGTGGTACCATTATGTCAACGATCCAAACGGAAGTCTATGGAGAGGAGGGAGACCTGAGAAGAGTGGTCTAGGGGAGCCTAGCAGGGATCTAAGCTAACCTGCCTGAGCCTGGAGAAGGTCATTATCATCTGGGGAAGTTACTCCCAGGGTCTGCTCAAATCCTGCCCTCATGTATAGATGGAAGCAGGGAGACCCACAGAAGGTCACAGCAGCCTGTGGGGAGATCTGAGAGCCAGGCCTCCCTAGAGAGCCAACACATGAGGCTGTCCTCTGTCACCTTCCATCGCTTTGCCAGAATGTTCCTTAGGCTGTCACCCCTTCAAGAAGGGTTCCTGTGTTCTGTCTCGAAATACCATTCTGTGAGCAGTCTGAAGGCTGGCTGGAGTCTGGCTTGCTCACCACCTGTCCCTCCAGGTTCTGCTTGTCATCCATCTTAGGCTGCAGTTTTGTGTACAGGAGGTCATGTAGTTCCACTTGTCCCCATTTTATGGATGGAAACAGTAAGGCTCAGGAGGGCAAGTCCATGCCTTTGGCTACCTGGGTAGGACACCCTGGTTCTGTCTGACTGCTCCTAGCCTTTCCTGTACGCCATCCTGCGACCTCCCTGAGGACAAGTATGTGATTGAGCAGGCACCCAAGAAAGAGTAAAGGGGGTACTGCTCACCATTTCTCCACCAGCACCTTGCAAGCCTTGGCTTGTGCAAACAACTGGTTCACCCGGGTCTCCTCTGTGTCAAAGTGCTTCCTGTAGAAGGACTAAAGAGAGAAAGGCAGGCTGGAGGGACTGCCTGTCTTGGCTGCCCTCCCCCCATGTGGATGAAGTGAAGACCATGTGATGGAGGTGAAGATGGTGAAATGAAGGGAGGAACCTGGCCTGCTAGGGAAGATGGCCCATGCAGCATGTGTGGACAGAAAGAAAGCTGCATGTGTTGGGGCGCCTGGGTGGCTCAGTGGTTGAGTGTCTGCCTTTGGCCCAGGTCACGATCCCAGGGTCCTGGGATTGAGTACCGCCTCAGGCTCCCTGCAGGGAGCCTGCTTCTCCATCTGCCTATGTCTTTGCCTCTCTGTGTCTCTCATGAATAAATAAAATCTTAAAAAAAAAAAAAGCTCCATGTGTCTCTTTTTTTTTTTAAGATTTTATTTATTTATTCATGAGAGACACAGAGAAAAGGCAGAGACACAGGCAGAGGGAGAAGCAGGCTCCTCGCAGGAAGCCTGATGTGGGACTTGATCCCAGAACTCCAAGGCCGAAGGCAGACACTCAGCCACTAAGCCACCTAGGTGTCCTGAAAGCTCCATGTGTCATGAGCTGGCAGGGTGGCTGGCCAGAGCACACGGAACCACAGAGGCATGAGGAGGATGCTCAGGAGATGGCTAGGCAGCTGAGCTCAGGTCAGCTCCCCCAGCAAGGCTAGTCATCCCTGGGCTGTGTACCCTGTGGATATGAGCAGGAGTCTGTGGTAAATGAGCAAAGGGGGTGGCTGGGCCTATCCAGATGCTCTTCCACTGCTTGCCTTAGCAAGGTGAGGTCCAGGAACATACTTTATTCAGTGTAGGGGACTTAAGGGGGCTAGACCGATCCCCTGTGGGGGAGGCAGGAGAGACCCTGCTCTTGGGCTCTTTTATCTGTCTCACAGCTACAGTGATTAAGCCAGATCCATCAGCCATCTTCCCCCAGCCTGGAAGGTATAAAGGCAATTTAGGTTGACCGGTGCTGGCCACCATGTGACAACCCTCTTGCCAACGAGGCCAACAGAGACTCTACTCTGCCAAGTTTTGGAGCTGGGGCCAACATGTATCTCTGCAGCAGGCAAGACTAGGGGGGTAAGGGTAGGGGGACAGGAGGTGTGTACTGGTATAATAGTGAGGCTGTCTTTTTCTTTTTCAGAAAGAAAAAAAATTAGTTTTTCCTCCAGAATACCAACTATCCAGCTTGGAGCCATCTGTCCCTGTGACAAGGAAGAAAATGGGCAAGTGGTGGCAGGGTGAGGTCAGAGTGACATGCTCTGAGACCCTGGACCTGAGACATAGGAGGGATGGATGCAGGAAAGCAGCCTGAGATGCTCCTCTTGCACATCATCAAGTGCTCTTGAAGGCAGGCAGCAGGAGTCTCACTGCTCAAATGCTCTGAGCAGGCTAGAGCCCAACATCACCTAGTCTGACTAGATCGAAAGTCCTGCCCACAGTGTATCTGCTGCTGCTCCCTGGTCCCTACATATCTGTGTGTATGCTCAGGTATCAATGCCTTGACCATACTCCCTTGTAACTACTGGACCTGAGTGAAAGCCTGGTGGCTGGCCACTCACCTGGTTCTTGTAGCCCTTGTCAACACCCAGGGTCTGTGTGCAGAAGCGGTGCCTCACGCCAAAGTGGCGCATCAGGTAGGCCAGGTCAATGGTCCAGATGCTCCTGGTTAGCCGCAGCTCTTGCAGGGCACTCTCAAACTCACTGTCGTCCACCTGGCCCAGGTACCTGTGGGGAGATGGGCTGCTGAGGTTGGCTTGCTTATGTGGGGAAGCTGGCTGGGGTCACCCTCCTCCCAAGGCCCCCCAACCATTATCAGAGCTCCCGCTCCCCAGAAGGCTCCATCCTTTGTCATGAAATCCTGTATCTTGCCTACTTTCTTGGGCACAACCTGAGGCTGCCGGGGGTACCATGTTGGCCTGAGTCAAGGATTCTGCTTCTTGAATCTCTTAAAAGGTTGTGTGACTTAGGGTAAGTTGCCAGACTCTGGCCTCACTAGCTTCATCTTTAGGATGAGATGTTTGGACCACATCAGTGGTTTTCTAAATTTTAGGCATAGAACTCTTTTGCTGAACACTACTTTGCCTGGAATTCTGGGATATAAAACAGGTAAGGGAGAAGCTGCTCTGACGTTCCTGGCAGCTGCCTCAAAATCTCCTAAGAGGAGATGACTACGTTGCTCTTTGCTTGGACGGTCAAGGTTCCTGTGATATTCCCACAACCTTAGTTCAACAATTGGCATTCTAGTGACAGTCTTCCTGGAGGCCAAGACTGAAAGGTCCCGTGTCGCAGGGATGAGGAAATTCTGTGGACCAGACACCTGGGACTTCCCTGGCTATCCCTAGAGCTGACACCTGGAAGGCCTCGTTCCACCCTTTGCTTGTTTTTGCAGGTAAGACCAAGCCTGGTTGGAAGCTGGACCTCCTTTAAGCCCCAACCAAGAAAAGCCATATGGATGATGAATCCCACCCAGGTCTCTCCCTATTTCTCTTTCCAGCTAGAGCAGATGGTGTGGATGGGGAGGGCCTAGGCCTGCCCACTCACCGCAGCACCATCTTGGAGCAGGCCAGGCCGCAGTCCCAGTGGTAGAGCTGCTGGATGATGGGCACGGGCAGCTGCACAAAGTCTTCTGCAATGAAACACAGGGAGGTCACAGACCCTTGGCACTGTGGCTGTCACTGCCACTCCACTGAAGCCACCATCATTGGCTCCTACCCAGATCCTATAGGAGTTGTTCAGGGGCCAACAAACAGCCTTTCGGGTGCCCCAATCCATTCTCCTTACAATAGCAGTAATCTCTCCCAAACATCAGTCAGAGTAGGTCAGCCTTACAACAAAATCCTCCAGTGGGTTGATTCCTCTGTCTCTTAAGACAATGCCTTCATGGCTGCCTCTGCCTTCTCACCTCCCCTCATCCTCAGGAGGCCAACCTGCAGGCAGAACCTTCACTTGCCGTGATCCTTTATGCCCCAGAGCCTTTGGAACCTCTTCCCCCTGCATGAACTCTCCTGACTTCCAAAGTACTTGACCTAACTCCTGCCTTTGGATGTCACTTCTCCATGACATTGCTTCCATCTTGCCTAGCACCTGTCCCCCAACTACATGCACTCACAGCCCCACAGGCCTCTCTCTCAGAACATTCTTTTTGGACCTTCAAGGAGGCTGGCACAGGGCCAGCCACATGGGAAGTGCTCAGCAGATATTCATGTCTGACTTCATGAGGCCCCTTGGAGGTCTGCCTAACTCCAAAGACTCCAGGGCCACCCAAGTGTGAAGTCCATGGTTAGAAGGAAGGGAGACTGTCATGTAATCTGTGTATGTGCAATGCTAACCTAGGTAACCTCTCAGTCTGTTCTCGTCAAACAGTGTGGAGGAGTAGAAAGGTCCTGACCTCAGCATTTTAGCCTTAGCTCTGTCACGGCCTGACTGTGGGCTGAGCAACTGACTTCCTCTTGAGAGACTGAGTCTGGCTATTTCTAAAGTCGGGGACTTTGGTCTGATTCAGTCAATCAACAAATATTTCCCAAGAGCCTAGCACCTGGCATGTGAACCAGAGATGTGGTGGTTAAGTGACATAAACAGAGTCCTGTCCTGGTGGTCAGCAAAAACAAGCAAGAGTAAGAGAAAAACAGAGGGCTAGAACTGGGGAAAAGGTAGGGGTGTGCCTTAGAGTGAGAATCAGGGAATGCAAGACAGAGGGGAACAGCATGCATTGAGGAGCTAAGGCGGGAGCCAGCTGGAACATGGCCTCCTGGAACCTCCTACTCTGGGATCCCACAAATCTGGATAAAGTTCAGCGTCTAAAGAAATGGGAGGCACTTCCCCTCAGCAATGACCACTCACTGCTCATTCATGACACTCGTTAAGCATGTGAAACCCCAGCTCACCCTGTTTCCTCATCTTGGGAGGTCTCCGGGGTCTCTCTTGAATCTACAACTCACCTGTGCAGAGCTGCCCCAGAGGCTGGCTCGCCATGCCAACCTTGGCTCCTGCTGCATGCAGCAACCAGAAGGGCCCTGCAGTTTGTCCTGGCCTTTCAACCTGCTGGTCTTGTCTGGGAAGCTTGCCTGGAGTGAGTCCCTAGCTCCTACTCTCTGTGTCTCAACTCTCCCCAGCCTCCAAGTCCTGGTTCAGAGGTCACCACTTCCAGTGCTTTCTCTGATCCCAGGCTGGCCACGCCCTTTCCCTCATCTGCACTCTGTGAGGCCAGAGTTCATGCTTTGGCTCACAGGAGAGGACCCTTGCATTGAGCTTGTCTGTGTCCTGCTGAGCTGTTGAACATTCCCAGGGGGCAGGGACCTGTGACTCCTCCTTCACTGCCTTTTACTGGCCTTTCTCCCCCCATTCCTCACCTTCAAGGGCCTGCAACAGGGCCTATGGATGGCAAGATGGCATGAGTGAGTACAGGCCACCTGCTAGCTGAGTCACTTGAGGAGAAGCACTTCATCTCTCCGTGCCTGCTTCTTCTTCTATGAAATGGACCACTACAAATGCTAGCCCATGGAGTGCTATGTGCACTCAGGGTGAGTGTGCTGCAGGTGCTGATGTAAACCCTGCCCTCCATCTAGAGGGCCCTGGCACCCTGAGCCCAACTGGGCTGGGGCTTTGTTCCCTCCTTCCCTTGACCCCAGATGCCTCTAAAAGCACCAGGCCATCATTCAAGGCCTTCCCACACCTGTCTCCTTCCAGTGTCATGGATTCAGTTCTGAGGTCTCCGTCTAGCCTGAATTTTCTGCCTATCCTCTGTCCCAAATTCCACGCCCAGTTCCTTTGCCCTCTGTACACAGTAGCCAGAGGGATCCCAGTCCCAGTCTCCCATTGCTCTTAGAAGAAAGTTGTCACCCCATTCCATGGCCTGCAGGGCCCTGCCCAACCCAGGCCCCCACTAGCCTCACCTTGGCCCTTACACCTCACTCACCCAGTTGCAGGTACCCTGGAAAACCCATCAGGCTTCATTCTACCTCTCTGCATGTACAGCCGTCTCTGGAACTTTCTTCCCTGCAGTTCTCGAGGCAGGCTTACCAGGCTGCCCCTTCAAATATTTCTCCTCTGAGAGGCTTTTTCTGATTACGCCTTTTGGGGGAGGAGGCTGCCCTTCCCAGCATCCTGTTTGTTTCCTTCACAGTACTTGGCAAAATTAATGAGAAAAAAAATAAAACAGAGCTACTCTTTTTCCCCACAAGACTGCAAGCTTCCTGAAGACAAAGAATTTGCTAATCCTGTTCACTGTTATTTCCAATGCCTACTATCTGATGCTTAGCAGTAATGCAATAAATATTTGTTACAAGAAATGAACCTATTTTTTTTAATGAACTTTATTAAACACTCAACATATGCTACAATTTAAGGACACTAAGGATGACTAAGTCCTGACTCCTGCCCTCCAGATTCATATTCTAAAATAATTCCCCCCAATAGGCTGAGTGGAGAGAAAGCTCTGTGCAGGGTGTTATTCTCTAATGATGGAATGCATCTCTTTTCAAGAACCCTTCATTGTGGCCATAACTGCTTCTCTCTACACAGGCTGTTAACTCCCCAGCCGTTGCTCTTGCAGATCCCTTAGTCTGGAATGTTATCTCCCATCTCTGAACAGCCAAATGCTCTGGTCTCTTTCTCACTCTGAGCCCTTCAATAGGAGTATTTGAGGGGTTCGTGTCTGCCTTCCCCACCGGACAGACTGAGACTATCTCAGTGGCAGGCAGGGTTGCACCTGTCTCCCCCCAGCCCTTGGGGCAGAGCAGGCACTCAGACATGTCTGATGAATGGAAGGTGTTTTTCCAAAAAAGCCTTAACCCTTGAGATGCCTGGGCCTACCTGTCACAGCAATGCCCCACCCTCCCCCAATCTCCCCCTACTCAGGCTTCCAGACTATAGCCCCTCTGTTCATGGCTCCCTTATTCTGCAGCCCGGGCTCTGGCACCAGCTAGCTGGGTCATCTTAACGGCCAGGCTTTGACTCTGTTTGTGCCTTTCCTATTCCCAGCTGTAAATGTGGCACAGGACAGCTGTTCCCTAGAGTTCTTATGAACTCCACTGCCCCTCTTCTTCTTGCCTTGATCCTAGAACCCCTGGATCCCAAGGTCCCACAAGGCTAAAGACTCCCAGGTGGCTATCCCCAGTCTTGGCATGGGAAGGTCAGCTCACAGGGGTCCAGATATACTACCGGGGGGGGGGGGTGATAAGGGGAAGCAAGGCCTTCCAAGCCCAGAACTACTGCCAGATGTTGATGCCTGGAGCCAAGATACTGTCCCACCTGAAAGTAGAGTCTATCTGTAGCCCTAGCCTGGCTTCAGGTGGCAGCTGTTGCTCAAAAAGGCAGACCCTGAACACTTAATTCCTTTCTATTCTATCTGCTCATGTGCAAAAAGTGCAAGTAACAATGGTAACTTACTTTTGGGGATTAATGAGGAATTGCATGTAAACAACTTAGCATAGTGCCTGCTCATGGGAAGCTCCCTATGAATGTGAGCCATTACTCCACTGAGACTCAGAAAAGGCAAGTGTCTGGCCCAAGATCACAGTTAGATAATTGGAAGAGTAGGGATGCAAATCCCAGGAGAGCATCAGACTTATGCCCCGCTGCATTCACAAGAGACCTCTCCCTGGGTGTGACACCAAGGTCACTGATGTCTCAGGGCCAGGTCCCACATGCTCTTGACCTCTCCCATGAGATGGCACCTCACTGTAGAGTTTACTAGCACTTTCTCATCAACCCTGAGAGCAGGAATCATTGCTTTTCCCCTCCCCCACTCAGAGAAACAAACTGAAGCCCACAGGCACTGAATGTCAGTCTTGGTGTCTGCCCCGGAGGAACTCAGGCCACCTAGGGGCAGAAGGAACCGGAGGGTCGAGACAACATGCTGAGTCTGGGAGGCCAGGGTAAGGGGCACATCCATTGCTCCGTGCTCTGCCGGTTTCCTGCCCTAGGCCTCAGCTCCCCTAGTTCCTGGAGGGGACGCGGGATCTCCTAAGGCGGCTCCAGCAGGACTCTCGGCTTCTGGGGAAGGTGCCGACCTTGCCCCGCACCCAGGACCCTCCCACTGTGACCGCTCTCTGGGCAGACTGGGGTTCCAGCCCTAGGAGTATCAGGAAATCCCCAGTGGCCCGGGCAGGGGGTGAGCGGCCAAGGCGGGAATGTACCCCTGGCCAGGTGTCGCTCAAAGCTCTACAGCCCGGCCCGTGGCGGCGGTCGACCCAAGGTCGCGCGGCCGGACCCTGCCCGTGCTAGGGCGGGTCCCCCTCGTTCCCGGGCGAGGGCCGGGCCCTCGAGGAGACACTGACCCGGCTCCAGCGGTGGCCCCGCTGCCTCCGCCTCCGTCCTCATGACCCGGGCTGCGCGGGGCGCCCATGGCCCCGGCCCGGCTGCAGCTTCGGCTCCGAATTGGGCGGGAGCAAGGCTGGTGCGTGTCAGGTTCCTCCTCCGCCGCCGCCGCCGCCAGCGCGCGGTGGGGAGAAGAGGAGGAGGCGGCGGGGCCGCCCCAAGCCCCGCCCCTTCCAGGTCCCGGCTGGGGCCACGCCCCTCCCCAGACCCCACCCCTCCGCTGGTTCTCCTGGCCCCGCCCCTTTCCCCACGCCCGGCGCAGCCGCGCAGGCCCCATCACGCCTCGGCTCCCCGGAAGCTCCGCCCCTTGGCCGGAGAGCAGCCCCGAGGCCCCGCCTTCCCACCCGCGCGGGTTCCCCAGAGACTCAGTCCCTGCCTGGCCCCGCTTCGCTGCCAGCCTCGGGCATATAGCCAGGTCCTGTCCGCACACCGCGGGGCTCCAGGAGACCTGACGCTGCTTCGGCTTCCTTGAGGGCCGGCCCCCGCTTTGCTCTAAGCCTGTTTCTCTATCCGCACGGTGAGCCAGCTCGCCTTGCTGAGGGCGCCCCTTACCTGGTGGTGCCGGGTTTCAAAGGCTAAATTGTGAGGGGAGGTCCTCGCCCTCGGCCCCCCTGCCTGCTGCCCCAGATCCCCGCCTTGTCGTCCAGCCACTCCCTGGTGTGAGGTGTTTGGAAACGCGAGCCCCCCGCCCCCCGTCGGTGGCTTGAGGATCAGTGTTTCCGGCGGCACCTGGGTCCCGTCACCAGCTCTCCTTTCCCGGGCCGGAACTATCGTACCAGAGCCCACGTTTCCCAGCCGGCGGCGTGAGTGGGGAGCGGCTGCAAGACCGCGCTCACCGCTGAGAAAAGGAAGGGGCTGGGCCCCGCGCGCAGCATCTTGGGAACGCGTGGTATTCTGGGAGCGCGAGACCCGCCATTCGCTCGTTTCACGCCTTGGCCGTCACCGGAGTTGCTGCGGCCGGGGAAGGAAGAGTAGGCCGGAGCTCGTGAGGTAAGGCCGGGGCGGCAGGCGGGGGTCGACCCGGAGCACCCATGAGGCGTCTGGGGCCGGAGAAGGATGCGCTGCCCAGAAACACCTGGAGGTTCGGGGAGGGAGAAGAGCGGGAAGCCCCGGTCACTCCAGCATCAGCGTTGCCTCACCAGCGCCTGGAAGCAAGTTCATTAGCTTTTCCCCCAGAGTATATGCTCTTTGTTTTTTCTGTGTCTCTCCAGGGCACGTTTACCGAATATACAGAGAGTAGTCTTGACTGCGTCCTTCCCCCAAGTCCCATCGGGATAATCCTTTTCGGAGTTGTTTGCATCCCTGCCTCCATCCCCCTTTCAGGCCCTGGCCCTCTCGTGCTTTCCGTATTGGTACAGAAGCTCTACCAGGTTGCCTTCTAAACCGTGTTCGATCCATTTGTGAGCGCTGCTGTCTTTTTATTGGATCATTCCTTCCTCAGCCGCAGCCCTGCCGTACTTCCCCACCGTCTTCAGCCTAAAATCCAGACTCCTGAGGCTCCTTACCAAGGGGCCCTGCCTTCCCCAACGTCATGTTCGCCCTCCTCCCCTGAACACATGTGATGTGTCCCCCGCCTTCATTCGTTCCTCATCGGGGAATACGAAATCCACTGCTCGTTTTCTTTTATTTACGTGGAATCAGCTGATTGCCCTGATGATGTTTTTCCTCCAAGCATTTCCTGCTTATAACACGCTGTCCCTTTGTGAACACTTTATTTTCTGTTTAACCTTGGTGAGGTGGAGCGTCCACAGGTACTTAATTAGTTGAACTAAATGCACAACCTCTTCTAGATTTCCCTGGATTTTTTTTTTTTTTTTTTATTCACTAGAGACACAGAGAGAGGCAGAAACACAGGCAGAGAGAGAAGCAAGCTCCACGCAGAGAGCCGGATGTGGGACTCAATTCCAGGGACCCTGGGATCATGCCCTGGGCCGAAGGCAGGCGCTCAACCGCCGAGCCACCCCGGGATCCCTTCCCTGGATCTTTTGGTCTCTGTCTGCATTGCCCAGTACTTTATTAGCCCAAGGCCGTTGAGCTCTTGAAATGTGGCTGATGTGACTGAAGGAGTGAATGTTTAATTTTTGTTTTCTTTCACTTTAAGTTTGGTGTAAATAGCTGCATGTGGACTGTGGCAACTGTATTGAACAGCTCAGGTGTATATCATGAGCTCTCAAAGTGGTGTCATCTGCAGCTGGATTGGCAAATACAGAGTATGGCACCTATGTTTCAATCCCGTCTCCCAATATACACACAGTGTTGGTTACTGGTTATTTGATGAAGATAAAAGGGTATCTGGTAGCAGGGAAGGAGGTGGAATGCACTTCTCATCCTATTAGCTTTTCCTCTTCCCCCCCATTTCTTCACCATCCCACATCTTGTATGTATTTTCCCAGGTGGGTTCCTCAAACTAGGAATTGAGCTCTTCTCTATGGGAAATGGCAGCTTTGATATTCTAAGTTTTTTTGTCTTTTTTAAGATTTTATTTATTCATGAAAGACAGAGAAATGCAGAGACACAGGCAGAGAGAGAAGCAGGCTCCATGCAGGGAGCCCGATGCAGGACCCGATCCCAGGAATCCAGGATCAGGCCCTGAGCCAAAGGCAGAAGCTCAACCACTGAGCCACCCAGGCATCCCATTCTTACGAAGTTTTATGGGGTGTCAGGCCTTAAGGGTGGCATGATATGTGTCACATGACTTCCTAGGCCCTGAAGAATGAACTAACTGTTGTCTCTTTCACTGTAGAACTCTTTTCCTGCCAAGATGTCTATTGGTGTGCCGATTAAAGTCCTTCACGAAGCCGAGGGCCACATCGTGACATGTGAGACGAACACTGGCGAGGTGTATCGTGGGAAGCTCATTGAGGCGGAAGACAACATGAACTGCCAGGTATCCTGCTTTCCACATGAGGTTATGGGGTAGCTCTGTCTTGGAGCACAGAAACATAGTGATTGTAGATCTTTTTGAAGTTCTTCTCCTTGAACAGTTACTTATGGAGTGCCTAATGTGTGCCAGACAGTGTTACACTTGCTGCTATTGTCTGACCAGATGCCTTGGTGGTCTCAGATGTAGCCAGTGTAATGTAAAGCACACAGCCTTATGTGTGATAGATCTGGAATCAGATTGAAGTCCCCTACCTTGTGTGACTTGAGGAAAGCTTCGTACCTCTCTCACCCTCTGTTCTCTCCTTTCTAAGTCAGGAATAAAACAATACCTCAGCCTCAGCATTATAGTGCAGAATAAATGAGTGAATGCTTGTCAGATGGTGGGAGCCAGTCACTTGCTTCCCACTTACATTAATCTGCTAGGGCTGTCATAACAAAGTTTCACATTGGGTGGCTTAAACAAGCACATTTATTCCCTTGGGCTTCTGGAGACAAGAAGTTTGAGATCAAGGTGTTATGGTTGGTTCTTCTGAGGGTCATGAAGGAAGGATCAGTTCCAGGCCTCTCTCCTTGGCTTATAATGGCCTTCTCCTTCCTGTATCTTTGCATGTGTGTGTCTGTATCCTAATCTCTTTCAAGGACACAAGTCATATTGAGTTAGGGTTCAGTTACCTCTGTAAAGATCTGGTCTCTAAATATGGTCACATTCTGAGATACTGGGGGGTTATGACTTCAGCAGATGAATTGGGGGCAGTTAAGATTCAACCCATAACACCATCCATGTCTAGATGCTGAGGCTTCCCTGGGTTTACCTAAGCCTGGTTCACTGAATAAAAACCAGCAGGCTACAGCACAGTTTGTTCACACATCCCCAGGATGCATAAGGCCAGTGGCTCCTGCACTGCTGTCTGCCTTGCCTGCCTGCCTTCCTGGCCCTGGCTAGTGTGCCCTTTGGGGCTGAGAGCATCTCCTTAGCACTTTCTAACCTTTGCTAGAGGACAGCTGGAGTTCATTGTTTGCCATTCCATGTTGGGTTTTAATAACTTTTGTTTTTTTCTAAAGATTTATTAACAAAAGTGTGGTGGACCATACACTACAAAGATTTGGGAAACAGTTAAGAGTGTCTCACCACAACCACAATTGGCATGGACTTTTTTTTCCCTAAGAACATGTTTTCGGTTTCTAGACTTTTTACTGTCTGCTTTCAAAAAGAGTTAGAAGTGAGGGACACCTGGATGGCTCAGCAGTTAAGTGACTGCCTTCAGCTCAAGGCATGATCCTGGAGTCCTGAGATCGAGTCCTACATCAGGCTTCCTTGCATGGAGCCTGCTTCTCCCTCTGCCTGTGTCTCTGCCTCTCTCTATGTGTCTCTCATGAATAAATAAATAAAATCTTAAAAAAAAAAAAAGTTATAGGTAGTTTATTTAAAAAAAAAAAACAAAAAACCGGGGATCCCTGGGTGGCGCAGCAGTTTGGTGCCTGCCTTTGGCCCAGGGCGTGATCCTGGAGACCTGGGATCGAGTCCCACATCGGGCTCCCGGTGCATGGAGCCTGCTTCTCCCTCTGCCTGTGTCTCTGCCTCTCTCTCTCTCTCTCTCTCTCTCTCTCTCTCTCTCTCTCTCTCTCTCTCTCTCTGACTATGATAAATAAAAAAAAATTTAAAAAATTAAAAAAAAACATTAAAAAAAAAAACAACACTATATGATAAGGGGCACCTGGGTGGCTCCAGTCGTTTAAGCATCTGCCTTTGGCTCAGGTCATGATCTCAGGGCCCTGGGATTGAGCCCCAGATCAAGCTCTCTGCTCAATGGAGAGCCTGCTTCTCACTCTCCCTCTGCCCCTCCCCCTAGCTCGTGCCACACCACACCCCCTCTTGCTTTCTCTTGCTCTCTCAAAATCTTGGGGGAAAAAAAAACTATGATAAGGTAAAAATGGACAGATAGGCCAAAGTGCAGGTAACTTGGGGTAGACCATAAAGTCAGGTAGGTGGTACCCAGAAATGTAAACCTGAATTGTGCATTTAATAAAAGTATATTCTGTTCTAAGCTACTTAGAGGCACAGCAGAGGGAAATCAGCAGTTCTAAGGTGCCTAGTGTCCTTAGATAAAATACCAGTTGTGCAGTTTTCCCTGGCATTCAGATGTGGGAGACATTTTCCCCCTGGACCCTGATGAAAGAGATATAGTCTTTTTTTTTTTTAATATTTTATTTATTTATTCATGAGAGACACAG